TACATTAAGATGCTGCACTGGTTGGAGGGGATGCTAAGCAGCACGTCGGGGCTGCCGTCGTCCTGGCACGAGGAGTTCCATCGGCCATTCCCCACCCGAGAGAGAGGGAGGGAGGGAGGGAGACTCTGCCCACGCCGCCCGTGAGCCCGGCATGAGGTGGTTGTGGTGCTGCCGCGGCCGCTGAAGCGCCGCCCTTCTGCGTCCCTCCCCATCCCCTCCTCTTCCTCCTCCCTCAGGCCACCTCCTCAGCCGCCGCCGCTGCCACCTCCGGCTTCCCCTGGCAGCACGGCAGAAGTCTCGCAAGAGAGGGGCTGTCTGCCCACCCGCTGCCACCCGTCTCCTCACGACGCGCCCCTGAGGGGGAAAAGGGAGAGACGGAGACGCGGCAGCTCGTGCACACTCTCTCTCTCACGGCGGAGGACCCAAGCCGCTGCTTCCCTCCCGAGCCGGGTGAGCATGAAACCTGGAAAATTTAAGGGACATCATCAATAAGGGACAGCAACAGGACATGGTGCTGGGATAAGGGAGTTTCCCGCCAAATAAGGGACTGTTGACAGCTATGTGCTTGGCTCACTCAGGACCCCTGATCATGAGGAGCAGATAGGGCTCATCAACCTAGGAAAGTAGCCCATCGAGGAGAAGAAAAACTCTGACCCTAGCTGTGAAAAGTGATTTGACATTTTGTATCCTAAAGTGTTAGATGCCTCTCCTCCTGGGCGGCGGAAAGGACAACTGATAACACTGATTTGTTTCATGTTCTCCTCTGAGAGATCAGCTAAAGGTGAGACCATTTATTTGATAATGATGCCAGCTAGCTTGGAGACTGAAGCCCACCAATCCCAACGGCTGTCTCAGTCCATTCATTTTCACAACCAGCTAGCTTAACCAATATTTTTGGAGATACATGAAATTGTTGCTAAATAACCACATTCATAGAAAATTATAGGGCGCCCATTGGCAAACATCTTTATTTATATTTCCCCCTGGTTTGTTTTATGTTTCCAGCATTTCCCTTTCTGGCAACCGTTCAGTAATTCTCGGTTAGGACAAAATACTGGCTTCTGCTCCAAGGAACACCACTTAGTGGTTTATGCAAGGCTGTCATTAGGCAGCTCTCCCTCTCTCAAATTTCTGAACAGCTCTACCATATCAAAATCTGTGGTGTGGCTTTCAGTTATGCTGGGCAAGGCAATAACAAAACCAAGCGCAAAGTTCTGGGGGAAGGCCCCGGAACAGCAAAAGAACACAAGGCTTGCTTTCTGATTGCACATAGTTCCAATGTTGGCCTTTTTGCTTGTCCGACGGGTAGATAAAGACCCTGTGATGCTGTCTAATCCCATTGTAAGATATCGCTGCCAAATATTAGGTGCAGTTTCCTCTGTTCCAACGTGCTTGCATAATGGCGGATGGAGCTAAGCAGGAACACTCAGGTAGCAGGGAGGCAGCTGGGGAGAGCATAAGGAAGTCTTGAGTCACATCCTTCCTACAAATTGATGAGGAACGCCACACAATGCAACCTCACACCTTAATCTTGTGCCTCCAAGTCCTTTGTCAATGAAACACGAGTTCTGCAGCTTGAGGCCCAAGACCCAACTTGGGATTGCATATCCACATTCACCTGTATAGCATGGTGAGAGGGGTTGGGTTGGCTCACAATCCCAGTGGGATCCCACCATTTAAGGCTGAGGTGCAGCACTCCTTCGTAGAAACTCTCACACTGCTCTGGAGTTCTTAAATTGAGAGGAAAGTGCAAACCCTCCAACATTTCTCCGATGAAAATAGGGACATCCTATTGACGCGGGTGGCGCTGTGGGTTTAACCACAGAGCCTAGGACTTGCCGATTAGAAGGTCGGCAGTTCGAATCCCCGCGACGGGGTGAGCTCCCGTTGCTTGGTCCCAGCTCCTGCCAACCTAGCAGTTCCAAAGCATGTCAAAGTGCAAGTAGATAAATAGGTACCACTCCGGCGGGAAGGTAAACGGCGTTTCCGTGTGCTGCTCTGGTTCGCCAGAAGCGGCTTAGTCATGCTGGCCACATAACGCGGAAGCTGTACGCCGGCTCCCTCGGCCAATAAAGCGTGATGAGCGCCACAACCCCAGAGTCGGTCACGACTGGACCTAATGGTCAGGGGTCCCTTTACCTTTACCTTACCCATCTGACTGGGTTGTCCTAGCCACTCTGGGCAGCTTTCAATATATATAATAAACATAATAAAACATTAATCATTTTTTTAAATGTTTTGCTCCACAGGGCAGCCTTCAGATGTCTTCCTTCAGCCAAAGAAATGCGTAACTATACAACCTTTAAAAGACATCTGAAGACAGGTATACAGTTGTACGTTGGAAGTCGAACGGAATCTGTTCCAGAATTCCGTTCAATTTCCAAAACATTCGAAAATCAAAACGCGGCTTCTGGTTGGCTGCAGGAAGCTCCTGCAGCCAATTGGAAGCCCCGTCGGACATTCGGTTTCCAAAAGAACGTTCAAAAACCGGAACAGCCACTTCCGGGTTTCAATCGTTTGGGAGCCAAAACGTTCGAGAACTAGGCTGTTCGACTTCCAAGGTACGACTGTAAATAAAATCATCATCATCACTGAATAGGACATCCCTATTTTCATTGGAGGGACGCGGGTGGCGCTGTGGTCTAAACCACTGAGCCTCTTGGGCTTGCTGATAGGAAGGTCAGTGGTTTGAATCCCCATGACTAGGTGAGCTCTCGTTGCTCGGTCCCTGCTCCTGCCAACCTAGCAGTTCAAAAGCACGTCAAAGTGCAAGTAGATAAATAGGTACCGCTCTGGCAGGAAGGTAAACGGCATTTCCATACACTGCTCTGGTTTCAGAAGCGGCTTAGTCATGCTGGCCACATGACCTGGAAGCTGTACGCCGGCTCCCTCGGCCAGTAAACCGAGATGAGGGCCGCAACCCCAGAGTCATCCACGACTGGACTTACCTGTCAGGGGTCCTTTACCTCTTTTTTTTAATGAGGTTTTATCAGTTTCTGTGGCAAAAAGTGGTACCGTACAGATTTGTTGAAAAAATAAATGCATGAAACCTGAAATATACTCGGAGTCGAGTGTGGATTTCATGCTCTTAATTCAGCTCATAGTAGTGAGTAATGAACGTTCCCCCAAAATATCTGTTTTACATACAATATTTACACAATGGGCTGCACATGATTGGCTAATTCTGGGATTCTCCTGTAGGCCAATCAGGTTGCAGATTCACTGCCACCTGGATCTGGATTGATTGGCTCCTGCGGACCAATCATACTGCTGCATTGTTCTAGGACCAATCAGACTGCTGCATTCTGGACCCTCTTGTTCTAGGACCAATCAGACTGCTGCATTCTGAATCCTATTGTTCTAGGACCAATCAGACTGCTGCCTTTTGGATTCTATTCAACTCAGTACATAACAAAACCCCAATTACATAGTGTTCTAGGTCATATGGAAGCTGCATGCATGAAGTTTTCCTCCCTGCAAGTGCCTGGGATGTGGCCAATGATGGTCCCACCTCACCTTGCAAGTTGGTTTAAGACGTAAGCAGACACCTGAATACGTCTCCTTTGTCTGTTCCAAACCAGCAAAATGTAACCATGATCTGAGAGTGATTTGAGTTTCGCATTCTTTCTCTCAATCGAGGCTTTCTACTCTTGAGTATGCTTGGCTGGAAGTAATTCAGGTCAGAAATGAATATACACCTCAGACTCAACAGTAGCTGCCAATTATGCCTGAACTTGTTTTAAGGTGATTCTAGGGAGACTAATTCTATTGTTCACTACCTGTCTCTTGAGTTGTTTTTCCCCTTTCGTTCAAGAAAACTTCTCAGCTTTCCATTCAAGAAAATTTGGCCGCTGTGAAAATATCGTTGCGGTTGCTTTCTCAGACAAGTTTTGTGTTAATGCAGACAAGCAAACATTTGATAAAAAAGACAGCTCCTTCAAATCTTGACATAGGATTTTTGTTTTCTAAAAAAGGTAAACACTGTTTAGTTTAATTTTCTATATAAAAATATAGTTTGAAGGAGAAACCCCATCTGTATCGTGTGTTTTCTTGTCACAGTTTTACAACTAGGAACCTGATATACTTTCTTTTTTGCCAAGTCATAGATTGAATGTCTTGCAAAAAAAACAACAACCCAACAACCTTCTGTTTTTCTGAGATAATCTGGGGTTTTTGTTTTATAGCTTTCATCATTAGGTCTTTAAATCTTAAGTCTCCAAACTGAATCAGCACATCCCTGTTCCACTTAAACTCTTCAGTTATTATATTATATTAGTTCTGTATTGTCTGAATCCAGAATAGCTATAAATAGTTCTTCAAGGTTCTCAACTAGATTTTTCCCTTTGGACCTCTCTTTCAAGCCCCTGATTTTAATGCCCAATCTTCCGGCTGAATTATCTAGTTCCTTAATCCTATTTTCCAGTCCTTCTTTTTTATCACTTGCTCTGTTGATTTCATCTTCTTTCACTTTACCCTTAAATTCTCCTATCTGTTGCACAAGCAGTTTTTTATTTTCCTTAAGCTCATTCATAGCTTTAATTCCCCGTGCAGCAAATTCATTCTTCTCCTGCACCATTTTAAGCCTTTGGTTTATTCCATTTATTTTTCTTCTTCTAATGCCGCTTTGTGGAATCCATTTTGTGTATAATTTTTGCCTCTGATTTTTCAAAATATCTTTGCAAAACTATATTTAACTCCCTGACAGACAGAGCCATATCCCATTAACCAACCATTTCCCCTTCTTCTTCCTCCTCTTCTTCTTCTTCTTCCTCCTCCTCCTCCTCTTCTTCTTCTTCTTCTTCTTCATGAAATTATGTTTGTTTCCTCAAGTTCCAAGGCTACCTTTTATTTTTTTCCGAACATGAGAGAATGTTATTAACTGGAAGTAATCCCCAAGCCAATGATCTGAAATACTCACTGAATCAATGAGGTCACCACTTCTCATGGGCTCCACTGTTCCAAAGCATGACGATGATGTCACACGATGTCACACAATGTCACACAGTACAGTTCTGTACAGCTGAAGCTCAGCAAAAGAGAGATGTTTTCACTCACAGACATAGGACCCTCTCCTTTCTTCTGACTTCGCTTAAGGAAGGCAGGGAATGAGATGAAGGGACAGCAAGGTAGGAAGGAACCAGTTGTTTTATTCTGAAATGGCATGTACCTGCAAAAAAATATCCTACCCAGTCCCCCCTCCCAAGATGCTCCAGAACAAGGGTGACAACTGGAATAAAATACAGTGGTACCTCGGGTTAAGTACTTAATTCATTCCGGAGGTCCGTTCTTAACCTGAAACTGTTCTTAACCTGAAGCACCACTTTAGCTAATGGGGCCTCCCACTGCTGCCATGCCGCTGGAGCACGATTTCTGTTCTCATCCTGAAGCAAAGTTCTTAACCTGAAGCACTATTTTTGGGTTAGCGGAGTCTGTAACCTGAAGCGTATGTAACCGAGGTACCACTGTATGGGGGGGTGGTGGATTGCCCCACATAATCAATCACAAGATGCAACATTCAGGCATGCACCATTTGAATGGTAATGAACATCAACTTTGGGGAGGGGGGCCTTGTCCCCTCAAATATTTTATGGGGGGCAAAGGGACCTCAGCTCCTGGGAGTTGACTCCTATGCTCCAATATCACGTGTAGCCAAATAGTCCTGAAAATTATAGGCCTATAAACCTTTGTTTGACCAAAGCAATGTGACTGTCTCTTTACTGACAAACAGTTTGGGGATTGCTATTTAAATACAGCTAGCAGTTCATTATCATTTGTGTCTCTCTGCTGAGCTTTTACCCTTTTGTAAATCCACTTACATCCTGGATTGAGACATTCCCAAACCTGCCAGGTCACCGCTGCTTATCTTTCCCATGACACCCTGTCTTCTAATCTTCCTGGGGCCATGTCAGTACATTTCCACATAAAGCAATTATTCCAACTGAATGGAGATCTTCCTCCCCCTTTCTCCCACAATGTTTTTTTTTGGGGGGGTGGGGGTGGGATGCTGTGTGTGAGGTGATGAAACTATTAGCAAGGTTTAAACACAGACAAGTATGAGAGATGCGTGGCGATTTTCTCATGCAGAATAGAATCCGGGACCACGGACTGAATGTTAAATGGACCATACCCTAAACATAAAAACAGCCCAAACATGCCTGCTTGATTTATACCAATGCTTATTTTCTCTGTCTGGTCAAAGGTTTAGGCACTTCAAATAGTTCCCAGGGCAACATGACTGCCACAGACTTTAAAGAAGCTTCAAGGCCTAAAATTGAATTACAGTACGCTTAGCTTGCGGTTGCTAGGGAGACTCACAAGACGGAGAGAAAGTTCCTGGCAATTCTTTGCTAGGTGAAATTAAAGCTTTATGGAAACTTTGCTGGGACAAAACTCCACCCATGGCCATCAGGTCCGAGAGAACAAACTTGTATGAAGCAGATTTGACAGAGAAGTATGATGAAGCCAGGTGTTTTGAACGTGTTTCATTTGATGGCAGACCTTAGGTAAAGGTAAAGGGACCCCTGACTGTTAGGTCCAGTCGTGGCCAACTCTGGGGTTGTGGCGCTCATCTCACTTTATTGGCCGAGGGAGCCGGCATACAGCTTCCGGGTCATGTGGCCAGCATGACTAAGCCGCTTCCGGCAAACCAGAGCAGCTCACGGAAACACCGTTTACCTTCCCGCCGGAGCGGTACCTATTTATCTACTTGCACTTTGACGTGCTTTCGAACTGCTAGGTTGGCAGGAGCGGGGACCGAGCAACGGGAGCTCACCCCGTTGCGGGGATTCAAACTGCCGACCTTCCGATCGGCAAGTCCTAGGCTCTGTGGTTTAACCCACAGTGCCATCTGCGTCCGCCGATGGCAGACCTTAAGACATCTCTATTTTCATCGGAGAACTGCTGGAGGGGATGCAGCACGGTGATTGGAAAAGGCTGGGTCTGGTGAGATCTGTCTGGTCCTCCTCCAGCTCCTCGAGAGCCAGTGTGGTGTCGTGGTTAAGAGCGGTGGACTCGTAATCTGGTGAACTGGGTTTGCTTCCCTGCTCCTCCACATGCAGCTGCTGGGTGGCCTTGGGCTAGTCACACTTCTCTGAAGTCTCTCAGCCCCACTCACCTCACAGAGTGTTTGTTGTGGGGGAGGAAGGGAAAGGAGAATGTTAGCCGCTTTGAGACTCCTTCGGGTAGTGATAAAGCGGGATATCAAATCCAAACTCTTCTTCTTCCTCCTCCTCCCTTTCTGCCCTGCCCCTCTCTCCATCCTGGTTTTGGTGCCGTTCATGAGGCGACATGAAGCTGTTCACCTCAGGCGGCAGATCCAACCCCCAAGCCACCCCTGCTCTGCTGCCAGGATCACTGCGGCTTTCCCTGGGCTGCCAACACAGCCTTGTTGTCCTCACCATGTTGCAGCGTGCAGCGGCAAGGGTGCAGCGGGCACAGCTGCAGCCAAGGTGGCAGGGGCAGGGCACGGATCTGCCGTGGGTTTTCACAACGGGTGCATCATAGGGGCAGAGCAGCCCATCCCTGGGTGCTGCAGTTAATAATTGCAACGGTTTGGAGAGTGTCTGCCTTTCTGAGAGACTTTCAAGCTACTCGTGAGCACAAATTGGTTGGGGACGACTCAACCCACTCTGTAGTGATTTGCAGCTGCTTCACCCAGATTCAGACAGGTTCAGGATTCAGCCAGATCTGGTACACAGCAATCATAGAAACAACAACAACAACAACAACAACAACAACAACAACAACAACAACAACAACATATTTCTACTTCACCCATCTGACTGGGTTTCCCCAGCCACTCTGGGCGGCTTCCAGCAAAAGATTAGAAATACATTAAAACTTCAAACATTAAAAACTTCCCTAAAGAGGGCTGCCTTCAGATGTCTTCTAAATGTCATATAGTTGTTTATTTCCTTGACATCTGGTGGGAGGGCGTTCCACAGGGAGGGCGCCACCACTGAGAAGGCCCTCTGCCTGGTTCCCTGTAAACTTCACTTCTCAGAAGGAGGGAGCTGCCAGAAGGCCCTCGGAGCTGGACCTCACTGTCTGGGCTGAACGATGGGGGTGGAGATGCTCCTTCAGATATACTGGACCAAGGCCGTTTAGGACTTTAAAGGTCAGCACCAACGCTTTGAATTGTGCTCGAAAACGTACTGGGAGCCAATGTTAATCATGTCCCCTGCCTGGTAAACTATCCCATCTGATTGTTTTTATAGGGGGCAAATATCAGATCAGACCATCAAATATCCACCAAACCATAACAATTTCCACTGTACTACATTGGAACAGTATATGTTGGTTCTGAAATGATGAACCACCTTAGTAACAAAAGAGAAAAAAATCATTATTTTTTGGCTTCAGGAATAAATAATCTTGTGGTTCTTGACTTTTTATCAGCTTGCAAACATGGGGTGGGTGGGTGGGAATACCATACAAAAAAGCTCAGGACAAACTCTCTATTACCTGCTCCTACATCAACCCCAAATCGCCCATCATTTCCCTATCATTAGGTGACTGTAAGGTGATGACAGGTGGATCCAATAAAAGCAGAACTGATGAAAACAAATTATTAGTCTTCCTTCTCACTGTGCTTTCATCTGCTCCTTTAATCTCTTTTATGGGAGAATCACATTTTGGTTTGTAGACACTCATGAACTTCTCAGCCTTCCTTCCCTGAGATGCTATTGAGAGAAAGCATCTTCTGCATATTTAAACAACAGTTGGACATCCCCCTTTAAATCCATCTCAACGAAAAGAAAAGAACTCACTCTGAAACTCACCTACAGGTGGTACCTAACATCAAGAAAACTAGCGCTAATACGCCCAGGAACCTCACCAAAATGCTGGAGAGGGTGCACCTCCACAGGCACATACCTCCACATGTGGTGGGAGTGCCCCAAAATCCAACTATTCTGGACAACAACCATACAAGAATTAAGTAAAATAACCAAGCAAGTATTAGAAATCACCCCAGAATTGGCCCTATTAAACATCTTCCAAGACAACAATGCCCATTTACACCACAAAGAACTCATAACCCACCTACTTTCAGCAGCCAGAAACACCATAACCAGACACTGGAGAGATCTGTCAGGAATAAGTATGGACCAATGGTATCAAATAGTTTGGGGAACAGCCCTACTAGAAAAATTAACCAATAAACTGAAACTGACACAGGGACAAACAGAAGACGATGCTTTTACCCCGGTATGGCTCCCCTTTATTACATACACAGCCCAACAAGACAATGACAATAATCCACCAACAGCATACAAATCAATATGGCTAACCTGATCCAAAACACCCACCCACCTCACTCACACACGAAAACAAAGAACACCATAGCCAATCACAAACAAACAACCACACCCTAGGCCAACCCCAACCTCTCTCACCATCAAAGAAACACAAATGAACAGCAGAGAACCTGCACGAGCAACGCTGACACCAAACCCTACATACATTAAACAAAATAGAAACATCACCACCTGACCCCACCCCCACCCATCTTTCCCCCCTCCACCCCTTGTTTTCCCCTAATGTCTCAACAAATGAAACTGATTTGTAAAAATGTTACATGGAAAAAATACGAGAGACATTACACATACTTCTGTAAAACAAGAAAATCTTTAATAATAATAATAATAATAATAATAAATATAAAAAAACCCAGCTGGAAATGGATTTATTTTTCCAGGCCTTTGGAACCTGATAGTGCTCACAGGGAATGGACTTCAGGCAGTGTTGATGTTTTTACAATGGATGCAATATAAAATTTATATTATATTTACCATTTATATTTCATTGTTACATTGTCAGCTACCTTGTGCTCTGATCTGGAGGGCCATTGGGCAGTGTTCTGTGGAGGTGTTTAGAGCAGTCTGAACAGCGTTTCTATGGGATCAACTCCAATCGCTGCGGCCTGAGGAGGTGGACAGGACACTTGCAGGAACCCTCTCAGTCCCAGGACATCTTGAATTGTTCAGTTGGTTGGTTGGTTGGGTCCAGGGTGTGGGAGATGCCTCATTGCAGTAGCAAACAATGCCCACCATTTTGAAAGAAGCAGCGGTGTCGTCAGGCGTCAGTGGCTCCAACCCCAACGGTAGGTTGCCAGGAACGGATAAGACAAGGGAAAGTTCTTGCCAACTGCCTTTTATTCAGTATTCACAGAGAGAGGCTCAGAAATGCATCCTCTTGGAATAATGGCGTTGATCTGAGTCAATCTCCACCCACTGCTCTCCCACTTTCTCATTTGTCAACACCACCCACCCCCTTTATGCTTGCCGCTTAGGGCCCTCTGTCTTTGAGCTCTTTGCTCTCCTACTTTCAAGGCTTGCCAGGTTCTGGGAGATGGTGGTTCTGGAATGCTTTCCAGCAGTAACATGTCAGCCAGCTGTTCCTGCTCTGCCTCCTCCTCCTCTCCCATTATTTCCCAACTTTCCCCCTCATCTGCCTCTGAGCTGTGACCTCCCTCAAACCCCTGTGGTAATTCAGAACTTCTCTGAAAGTTCTTTGCCCAGGTGTCCACCTCCATGGATCCTGAAGTTTCAAACAACCGCTGCCCAGCTGGGAATATCCCTTTCTTGTGCAAGATGGCAGAGAGGGTGGTTAGTTGCGTGTCGAGGCCTCCCAGGACACCCCAAATAAAGACACAGTTCACACAACATTTTTGTTTTGGTTTTTGGCATAATTTTGGCCACAACTGTATTGAATTACAGTATGTGAGTGGTTGCTTAGGCATTGGTTAGCGACTATCTGTTCCCACACAGAGGTAGAAACAGAACTGACAACCGCAAGCCTGCGGAAGTCAGTAAGGGTAAACATTTTTGGGGAGAGAATAGAGCTGGGCGCCAGGCTCTCACCTCTCCCCAAGTGCTCCCAGGGGCTCTTGCGTGGCCCTAGCCCCTTGACAGGGGTTCGGACAAGAGCATGGCGAGCCCCTGGGTTCCTTTAACGGAATACCCTTGCAGCAGCAGCATTGGAGGGGCAGGCACAGCCAACCACATCCCCTCCACCAAACAAAACTAACCAATGCCGAACCGCAACCTTACAAGTTGTGACGATTTGCTTCGCAGTAGGCAAAAACCAAATGGCACCGGTCAATCAGCCAAATCGTAAGAATTCCTACCAGGCCCCTGCCCCAAAATCAGGCGACCCCATGACAGGCATAGCCCCTGCCCCAAAATCAGGCGACCCCATGACAGGCATAGCAAGGTCAGCACGAACAAACCCTAAATATAGGGAGGGTGGGCGGGTAATCCGATGTGCGCAGCGAAAAGAGGAAGCTCAACGCTGCTCACAGGGAATAAATGGCACCCCCATCAATCAAGTAATTTTGCAACATTAAATTTTCCCCAGCAACAATTGGAGGTGCCCTATCAAATTTGTGGCCATTCATACTCACCTGCCCAGCAACAGGGGATGTCATGGTTGCCCCCACTGCAACATGTGCTCTCCATGAAGGAGAACGCGCTCTGGCCAACTGCAGACATTCCTAGATGAAGTGGATTATCTAGACTCATTTCAGTCTGGCTTCAGACTTGGGTTTAGTACTGAAACTGCTTGGGTAACTTTGATTGGTGACCTTTATTGGGAGAGAAGAGGACTGGTATCCTATGGGTTCTCCTTGACGTTGCACCAGTGACCAGTACCATTGACCCATACCTAGTGGTCTGTGCTTTGAGATTGGTGGGAAATAATATTTTTATTATTTATATCCCATTTTCCATCCCAAAGGAGTCCAGAGCAGCAGTTCAGGGCTGCCTGCTGCACCACCCATACTGATAATACGCAGCAAAAAGTTCCCATCTTTAATGCATTACAGGAGTGCCAACTTGGACTCGCAACCGTTGGTGCCCGGGGCTGTAGGTGCCATGCAGCTTGCATGGCCCTGGCACCAACATTTGTGGGTGCCTAACTGGGCCATAAAGAAGGCTGATCACCGAAGAATTGATGTTTTTGAATTATGGTGCTGGAGGAGACTCTTGAGAGTCCCATGGACTGCAAGAAGATCCAACCTCTCCATTCTGAAGGAAATCAGCCCTGAGTGCTCACTGGAAGGACAGATCCTGAAGCTGAGACTCCAATACTTTGGCCACCTCATGAGAAGAGAAGACTCCTTGGAAAAGACCCTGCTGTTGGAAAAGATGGAGGGCACAAGGAGAAGGGGACGACAGAGGACGAGATGGTTGGACAGTGTTCTCGAAGCTACCAGCATGAGTTTGACTAAACTGTGGGAGGCAGTGGAAGACAGGAGTGCCTGGCGTGCTCTGGTCCAGGGGGTCACAAAGAGGCAGACATGACTAAACAACTAAACAACAACAACAAACCCCTTCATGGGGAATTTTATAGGTGTTCAGGCACCCAGGGCCCTGGGTGTTGGCACCTATGACCCATTAGGATTGCTCTCAGTCAGTGGAGAAAGCATTGACCTCATCTTAGCCATCACGAAAAGTCAGGTGTTGAAGCTGCAGATTTATGACACTGAATTATATAGACTTACAGCATCAACAGTGCCAACAACGAAACAGGCGTAATTCAAAAAACATCAGTCAGCTTGCCAAACGATATCTGAACTTTGCAGGGTATAATTTTTAAAAACAGAGCTGGTGAGCTAGTACGAAATTACAACCCTCGAGGAACCAGCAACACCCACTGGACTTATTGCACAATATATTGAAATTAAGTGTAATTGGAAAAAGATGGGTGTGAGGGTTGCTGCAGAAAATCTTAGTGTGTGTAGCGGGGGGAGGGACATATAAGAACCCATTTCCTTTAATAATAATGTTATGATAAGGTTGGTTTTTTTAGGCAAGTGAAACCTTTATTTTCATTCAATGGTCTATTGCTTTTGGGCAGGAATGCCTGGGGTGCTCATCTTATGGGCAAAGGCTGGCTCGGAGTTGTATAATTTCAGCTTTATTACCTCCACTGAATAGGTTCTGGGCAATCCAAAAATAACTTGAAGGATTTGGTCGTAAGCATCCACTTTGGGAAATAGTTGTCTTCAGATTTCAGGGAAGGGTGGGAGGGATTTTGCAATCCTGCCTGAGTGCCTGAAATGGTCTCCCCCCTCCACTCCTTCAAGGGAAGCTCAGGCTGCACTTCTGAGTACACTCAGCATATTGAGAGAGGAGGGAGAAGGAGAGGTCAGGTCGGGGTGGCAGAGGGGGCAAGTGGTGGCAGACCCGCACCGTGCTGGACTGGCGGGTGGGGGGCAGTTGAGGAGGGAATAATAATAATAATAATAATAATAATAATAATAATTTATACCCCGCCCATCTGGCTGGGCTTCCCCAGCCACTCTGGGCGGCTTCCAACAAATTATTAAAATACAACAGTCTACTAAATATTAAAAGCTTCCCTAAACAGGGCTGCCTTCAGATGTCTTCTAAAAGTCTGGTAGTTGTTGTTCTCTTTGACATCTGGTGGAAGGGCGTTCCACAGGGTGGGCGCCACTACCGAGAAGGCCCTCTGCCTGGTTCCCTGTAACTTGGCTTCTCGCAGCGAGGGAATCGCCAGAAGGCCCTTGGCGCTGGACCTCAGTGTCCGGACTGAACGATGGGGGTGGAGACGCTTCTTCAGGTATACAGGACTGAGGCCGTTTAGGGCTTTAAAGGTCAGCACCAACACTGCAAGAGGGAAGGAAGGGAGTGACTATTGTCATTCACGCCCGGCCAGGCTCCTTGTCTGCCTGTTCAAGCAGGACAGAGGACACTTTTGTGCAAAAAACAGGACGACCCCATTTTTTCTAGTCTAATAAATTTTTATTAATTTTCATTTACAACAATCCAATAAAAGCCACATCGATACGATACCAAATCATAAAAGAGCCAATTTATTCAATAACACATTATACAATTTTGTTTGGCTTCCCATGCCCTGGTTTTCGGGGGTTGATATTCTTACTTCGCCCTGCTCCAAAACTCTTAGTTAGTCCAAATGCATCCGTTCCGACACATCTGTTAACAGCCACTGATCTGGTGACTTTCATTCGTATTTAAATATTCCATGTCCATTCATTTTGCAAGGGGGTTTTCATCCTGTGGATTTCTGTATGAAATGTTTGTTTTACATTCATCTTTTCATTTTTCTGTTGTAATCCAATGTCTTCAAGCATTTCCCTTAACTTTTGCTTTCTCAGGGGACTGAAATTCTCACTGCGACACACACACCATTCGCCATTTTGCTTATCCAAGGCAATTAGAGATGTGGCGTTTCACCAGCATCCCAGGCAGATATCCAGCTTCTTTCATCTGTCATCTGACAACTAACAAGCTGGTATCCTTCCAAAGTCATAAAAAATAAGTGCTCCATGTACCCCATTTTTCGAGGGATGGGTAGCAACCCTATACAGGACACTGCACCCACAGCTACCCTGCTGTCTGTCGTTGTCCCTGGAGGAAACAGTAGTTTTAATATCGCCAGGCATTTGAGCTGTCAAGATGTAAACGCTTGCCTCTAAGGAACCCTGGTGGTCCTAGCATATGTTGCTTCCCAGTTAAACCAGTGAGTTTCCAGCAGCTTGCTTGTGCCTTCTGTGAAAGAGAAGCAATAAAGAAACAAAACTAAGATGTGAATGTGGGTGGTAGCTAGCCAACAAGGATGATTTGAGAACAGGTCATTAATTTTTTTGTTTTCTTAATAAAACTGTGCTGGACCCGGGGGGGGGGGTACCGAGAGGCGTGGTCTGAGTCCGGTCCTGGGTCGAGGATCTGGAGACTGTCCACCAAGGGCAAAGCTGGGTCCAAAGCAAGAAGCTGGGCATGGTCGGGAACTCCGGAAGAGCAGGTCTGGGTGCTGGCAGAAACAGGTTTCCAACGACATTGCTCCCGCAACCTGGGACTGGGCTGACTGGCCTTTATCTCCTCTGGGGCCTAGGGCAGTCCCGGCCCACAGGTGACTCGCCTCTCCTGGCCTTAAGGCGAGCACTTCTCCTGAGAGAACCCAGTTCCCTCCACCTCTCTGCCCTGAGCCTCTGCAGCTCAGGAGAGGCTGGAGGGTTACCGGACCCAGAGGCAGCCTCACCTTCCCCTGACAGGGCTGGGAGAGGAGCACCTGCAGGCAATGGGTTTTCAATCACCCCCGGAGCCAGAGTGGATTCATCTGGTGTCTACTCCTGAGAATCCGGCACAGGTTCAAGCCCCTGCCCCGGCTCAGCCGGCCCTGGAGGCGGGGACTCCTGTGCAGGTTGGGATTCCTCCGGTTCAGCCTCTGAATCAGATTCCCAGGCCATCACACCAACGTTCAGTTTTCTCAAATATTCCCAAAGCTTTGGTTGTCACTAAGAGAGAGAGAGAGAGAGAGAGAGAGCAGTTTTCTCCCGTTTTCTACGAGTACCAATGGGCAAGATGCTGTCTTCAGTCACTTTCTTTACCTCTTCTCATTGAGACGAGCCAATTTAGCAAACATCTTGCTGCCAAGGGGGTGGGGGGGTGGGAATGCTTGCATTTTGACATAGCATACTCAAGTCCAATCCTGCACCTATCTCCGCCAAGTAAAGCAATGAGGGAATCTGTGGGATGTGATACATTAGTAGCAGTCAAGTACGACATTCCTTGTTTTCCTAGAGTGGACATGCGGGGGAATGTATGCTCCAGCCAGCCGAAAACTTCCTCTTTCCTCCTGGCTGAGACATACTTCCTTTGCATATGACTAGAGGTGGGCATGACCTTACCTGTCCAGGTAACGAAAGGGACAAGGCATGCAGCACTCTCTCTCTCTCTCTGACTTCCTCCGTCGTTGGAGCAGCTTTTAGCTAGAAATGCTTTCAGACAACAGAAGCCACTGGGATTATCCCCATATGGGCTAGATCCACATGTATATAGTAAAGGTAAAGGTACCCCAGACCATTAGGTCCAGTCATGACCGACTCTGGGGTTGCGGCGCTCATCTCGCTTTATTGGCCGAGGGAGCCGGCGTACAGCTTCCGGGTCATGTGGCCAGCATGACTAAGCCGCTTCTGATGATCCAGAGCAGCGCACGGAAACGCCGTTTCCCTTCCCACCGGAGCGGTACCTATTTATCTACTTGCACTTTGACGTGCTTTTGAACTGCTAGGTTGGTAGGAGCAGGGACCGAGCAACGGGAGCTCACCCTGTCGCGGGATGTGAACCGCCGACCTTCTGATCAGCAAGTCCTAGGCTCTGTGGTTTAACCCACAGCGCCACCCGCGTCCCCCACATGTATATACTTTGTAACTAAGTCTGCCTTCAGGGATCACACTGTAAACTGATGATGTGAGTAAACTTTTATATACTTTAAACAAGATTGTGGCATGTTTAATCATTTAAGAGGGATATAAGGGAACTTACCAGGAACCTAATTGTGAGAGGCTTATCCAAGCCTGCAACCAGCTATCTCCTGTGCGTTTAAAAGGGGAATGTAAAACTCTGCTAAGTAAAGGAACTAGCGCAAGTTAGGAAGGATATTAATAAACAATATATCCTTTCCTGCCTCCCTGAACATTCCCACAGAATCGCCAGGGAGCCCCCACAGCTTCTTCAAGTTTGGGGATTTATTTTTAAATCCTGCCTCCTGGCCTTTGGATGAACAACCAAGAGGGGGCAGGATGGAAGCGTTATGGTGATGCCATTAAAGTAAGGTTACCAGATTTTTTCCAATGAATCCATGGACACTTTCCAACTTCAATAGATTTTGTACGTGGACTGATTTGTAAAGCCAGGGACTGTCCCCAGGAAACGGGGACGTCTGGTAACCTTACATTACAGGCCAAACTGCATGCAACAGGCAGTTCCATGGTTCTTCTTCCTGGCAATGTGGGATTGGATTGGTTTTTTGAACAAAAAGCAGCTGCAGAACACTGGAATCGGGAGCAAAGGGATGAGAAGGGGCCATAGCTGTCAACTTACAGATTTGAAAATAAGGGACCAGCAGCCTTGAAAATAAGGGATCAGCAGCCAAAATAAGGGATTTTGCTTAGCTTATACATAAATCTGGCACTGATGGAGCCATGCGGCTTTGGCTGCGACTGACTGTGTTTTGCAGGGGGTTGGACTAGATGATCCTAAGGGTCTACAACTCCCACCAAAGAAAAGTGGCAGACAAAACTGATGAATGACGTCCAGATGGCAAAGCTTACAGGCAGAATTAGAAACCAGGAAGAGGACCTCTTTAATAAAGAATGGAGTAAGTTTATAATTTATTTGAAAAGCTATTGTCAAGAATTACATATATTGGTAGGATTGACAGAAAACTTGTAAAAATTTGAACTATGGATGGACAAATGATTTACAAAAATAGAGTTATGAAAGTGATGCAGAGGGGGAAATCACTACATTAAGTTGCTGCACTGGTTGGAGGGGATGCTAAGCAGCACGTCGGGGCTGCCGTCGTCCTGGCGCAAGGAGTTCCATCTGCCATTCCCTGCCCGAGAGGGGGGGAGGGAGACAGACTCTCACCCACACTGCCCGTGAGCCCGGCATGAGGCGGTTGTGGCGCCATGGCGGCCGCTGAAGTGCCGCCCTTCTGCGTTCCTCCCCATCTCTTCCTCTTCTTCCTCCCTCAGGCCGCCTCCGGCTTCCCTTGGCAGCGCGGTGGATGTCTCGCAAGAGAGGGGCTGCCTGCCTGCCCGCCGCCACCCGTCTCCTCATGACGTGCCCCTGAGGGGGAAAAGGGAGAGACGGAGACACGGCAGCTTGTGCGCACGCTCACTCTCATGGCGGAGGACCCCGAGCCGCTGCTTCTCTCCCGAGCCGGGCGAGCATGAAACCCGGGAAATTTAAGGGACATCATCAATAAGGGACAGCAGCGGGACACGGCGCTGGGATAAGGGAGTTTCCCGCCAAATAAGGGACGGTTGACAGCTATGGAAGGGGCTGCTTATGCCTTTCCTGCCTTGCCCCATGTCTGCTCAGTAATGTGCCTCTCCTTCAGCTGCCTGCCTTGATAGGAAGCAGAAGGAAGGGCATCTGATGCCTGAACAGAAAGATACAGGCATAACTTGTCCCTGTGCTAGCAGCTCACGAGCAGGAGGCATTATAGCAGGGCCAGTACTGGACCTCTGCTCCCCGCTCACACAATTGCAAGCACTCATTCATTTGATCATTCATTTATAAATCAGTTGATCAATCAAACTCAGTTTAGCCTAGTAGGTTAACATTGCTATTTTTACTGCATCCATTGACTGCCAGTGTCGAGGAATCTTAGGCACCATGGGAACATTCAAAAGTATTTAATTCTGGTATATAAGCACAAGACAACAATTTTAAGGGAAAAGAAAAGGAACTTTTCCTCTTCTTGTCTTTGAGGTGTAAACTACAAATGTCTTACATGCTAACTACTGCCATCTCCGTCATCAGGGAGCATTTATTGAATGTATAGGCAATTATTATTATTATTATTATTATTATTATTATTATTATTATCATTAGTAAGATCCATCATCCAAGTTCATGATAAATTGTGGCGCTCAGCTCCAGACCATTTTCAGGCATAGCACATGACTTTATTTTGGAAAACACACAGGTCTCTTTGATGGAGGGAGAGGTTTGGTGAAAGGCTTCAAGAATTCAGTTTTATTGCACGTAGCAGAGCTTATATTTTATTTTCTTCTCATACCCACACTATATAATTGTGGGTTACTTATGCGTGTGGTCCCATTGGCAAAGGTTCCTTTTAATTGCTTCTGTGGCGATACTCTGGGCAGAATCGTCATTGCCACAGTTGCCTTCTCCCAAACAATTTCTGCCTCTCAGGTCAGTCCTTTGGGCTTTTAGAGCTCAGATCTGGCTTGAGGTTTGGAGTTCACTCCTCTGATGCCATTGCAGCCATACATTACTTTTAATATACGCATGTCTTCATTTATTTGATATCTCTTCTTGCCAGGCAAAAAGCAAAAGCATACAAGGATGGTTTACGCTACTGAATTTCCCCACATGGTTGGATGTGGGAATGTGTCCATATGAATTGGTTGATGTGTGAGGTTGTAGCCCTTCCTGTGATCATGGTCGTACCATTCAGCTTAGAAAATGTGGCCGGGGTGCCATCGGCGGGGGGTTGGGCAACGGCCCCCCTGCATAGCTGTCAACTTACAGATTTGAAAATAAGGGACCAGAAGCCTCGAAAATAAGGGATCAGCAGCCAAAATAAGGGATTTTGCTATTGTAAAGCGTTACATACATTGGTAGGATTGACAGATGCTGTCAATTTGGCATGAGGCGATTGTGGCGCCGCCGTGGCCACTGAAGCGCCGCCCTTCTGCGTCCCTCCCCATCTCCTCCTCTTCCTCCTCCCTCAGGCTGCCTCCTCAGCTGCCACCACCGCTGCCGCTTCCGGGCTCGCAGGCGGCGTGGGCGAGAGTCTCTCTCCCTCCCTCCCCTCGGGCGGGCAAGGGCCGATGGAAATCCTTGCGCCAGGATGAAGGCGCCAGCGCACGCTCTCTCTCGCAGTGGAGGACCCCGAGCCGCTGCTTCCCTCCCGAGCCGGGCAAGCATGAAGCCCAGGAAATTTAAGGGACATCATCAATAAAGGACAGCAGCGGGACACGGTGCTGGGATAAGGGAGTTTCCCGCCAAATAAGGGACGGTTGACAGCTATGCCCCCCTGAAATTTTCAAGGAGGGGACTGGGCTCCTCAATATCATGCCACCTATAGCAGGCCTCACCGGCTCTCCCAGTAATATGAGGTAATGTGTGCTCTTTGTACTTTTGTCCATTTGCTGTATTTATTTTCCCCAGTTTGAACTATAAAATGGTGATTTTCTTGAGTCAAAATGAGAGTATCCCTAAACATTTTTTTTCAGAAAAGGCACTGTGCACACACACACACATATAGTTCCATTTTTACCCACGCCAAAACTGTAAAGGCTGCTCTTGCATGAAAACCACTGGATAGCAAAGTTGGTTTGACCATGGTACTGACAACACCAAACTTTTGTAAGGAGAACTATATGAAATATCGCAGAAAAGATTTATGAGAATGGATTTTAAGCTATGGATTATTAAACGTAATAGTTAGGAACAAATGTAAGATTAAGAGATGAGGTTTGAAAATCATTAGACGTGGTTGATGGAAGTCTCAGGCTAAAATAGCCAAAATGTTGTATAAGATGAGATGAGATGATGTGTTCTGTTTGGAAAATCTATGTAAAAACTAATAAAAATGTATATTAAAAAAAGACAACACCAAAGTTGCAGGTTCAATTCCCGTAAGGGACTGGTCCCTTCCAATTCTATGAGGTATCATTTTGAAATTGGGTAGGATACATACCGTCAAAATGGCATACCAAAGTAATCCAGTAATTCTACCCAAAGTAATAAAGCTATAGTTTTCTGCAAGCTATTTGTTGTTGTTAAAGGTGCCTAGCAGAAACACCCCTTTGTATCTAAATTAAGGAAGGGACCCAATAGATTGACTCCTCCCACTAACTGTTAGTGGTTTCAAATCTGGTGAAGAATGAACAGCTATCCTAAGTTATCATTATCTTAAGTTTGGTAATCTATATGCACACACTTCAGATAGCTGCTTGATTTGCCTGGCAATGGAATATAGTTCCCCATCTGTTCCTCATTAAAAAGGAAGGATTATAGAGGGGAAAGGATTTCTTATGTGGGGTGCTTGGTGGCAAAACAGCTGGCAACATAAAGAAGAGCTGAACACCAAGTTTAGTGTTCCACGGCACCTGAAACATGAGCTTCACTTTGCTCTGCGTTGGTTATCGTGGCTTTGAGCCACCAAGATTTGAATATAATGTTTACTGAACTAACTTTAGTTTAGCCTGATGCATGACTGAAACCCAGTTTATTCTGGCTGTGGCACTGGGAATATTTTGGATTGGGAAATGTGGTATTCAGCAGTGACACTGACTCAGAGTAAGCCGTTTCGTATTTCCATCTTAAAATTAGTTTTCCAAATGGCTTCTGTTGTTCTGCAGAGGTCAGCTGTCATGAAATGGATAGTGTAGATCAACTCCTCGAAAGATTCCATCAATGGTGTCTCCGAAAATTTTTACACATCACTTGGGAAGATAGGCGAACTCATGACAGTGTACTGGAAGAAGCAAAGATCACCAGTGTCGAAGCAATGGTTCAACATCAACTTCGTTGGATGTGCTGATGCCTGATTATCATCTTCCAAAGCAACTACTCTATTCCGAACTTAAAAATGGGAAGCGTAATGCCGGTGGTCAACAAAAAAGATTTAAAGACTCTCTCAAGGCAAATATTTTAAAATGTTCCCCGAAACTGGGAAACAGACCTGTGAGCGCTCCAATTGGAGAACAGCCTTTACCAAAGGTGTCATGGGCTTTGAAGACGCTCAAACTCGGGACGAAAAGGAGAAACAAGCTAAGAGGAAGGCACGTTTGTCAAACCCTCACCATGATCAACTCCCACCCAGAAACCTATATCCCCACTGTGGAAGGACGTGTGGATCCAGAATTGGCCTCCACAGTCACTTAGAGACTCACTGTTAAAACTGTGTTTATGGAAGACAATCTTACTCGGCTATGAGTGATCACCAAAGAAGAAAGAGTGCAGATCATGCAACTCAGAGATGACAGACATCCCAATTTAACTCCAAAGTTAAACTTCCCCATTTATGCAGAAAGGTGGGGCTTCATTTAAACCAAGTGCTGGAGTCCCCAAGATGCTATGAAACAGTCTTCTCACTGTACATGCACAAAACATCATAACCGTTCACCATGCTGGCTTGGGCTGTTCTGACTTGGATTCTACCAACATCTGCAGTCAAAGGCCTAGTCATTCATAACTTGGAGGCAGGTTCTGGTCCTGACACTTCAGAAACAAATCCACGTTTGCATCAGCACATGCGTAGAGAGAGAGAAGGAACCTGGTCTCATAGGACAGGAGACACAGCAGCTGCAGTCTTGATGCTGGGAATGGCATTCATTTCTGCCAGAAGCTTGCCAATGAGTCTAAGCACTAAACTTCCACAAGTATTTTAGCCAAATACTGCTTCAACAGAAAAGTAGGCAGAGCCTATCAACCTTTTCAAAGGCAAATGAAGCAGGCCAGAGATCATTTTAAAATCCTGCATCATTAGAAGAACATCCACATGGAAACAGTGGCACCTGCTGGTTAATACTGAAATGAAAAGTTCAGAAACGCTAACGTGCAAGGTAATGCTTATGGAATTTTACGATTTCTTTTCAACCTGGTCTAAGAGCCATACATTTCAGGCAAAGATCTGTGATCCAATTACAGTGAGAAAAACTTAAATGTGTGCACACGCAGGGCAATTTCTCTCAATATGTGGTCTTGTTTCTTAACAAATGTTCTGAGTAATTTGTACCTGTTGCTCACTTAGAGGGTGGTACAGCCGTGTTGTTTGCTGTCTCTTTAAAGATTTTTATTTAAAAAACCAGCGTCACATAAAACATTGGTATACGTAACTATCAAATCAATTATGACCCCCTTTTCCCAGGCTCTGACCAAGAACTCAATGAAACGCATTGCTCCAGTTGGGAATATGTCGAAGGAGGAGGTCAGATCTGATTGTGTTTGTTCACATGCATATTAATTTATACCAGATTTCCAGAAAGCCTTCATCTGCCTATTGTCCTTTTCATGTTTTACTTGCTTTGTAAGTTTTTCCATGAATGCAACTGTTCATACTTTTCGTCTCCAGTTATGCATATGTAAATTGTCCTGGCTCTCCCAGCTTTGAGCTATTCATTGCCAGGTTTCAAGTAAAAGAAAAATTACCTGCTACCATGGGGGAGAGCAAACTGAATAGTATTCTGTATGTCCTGTTGTGTTATTAAGCTTAGCTCCTTAAATACACGTCACATGTCCACTATATATTAAATATAGCACCAATAGTCATAGCCCCTCCAGCATAGGGATGAAAGCTGCAGGCTAATCTTAAAATTTTTAAATACCAGCTATGCAACATTTTGAGCATGTTCTCCCTAATCTTGTGCATAGCAAGTAAAACCTTTTCCCCCATCCACATACTACACCAGTCAGTTTGCTCAAACTGGAACATTTCATTTAAGTATGTAAGGTTAGTTCTGAAAGAATTCCCAGCCCATATTATTTCCATGGGGTTGTACAAGAGAAACACACTGCAGAATGGCCCTTCAACACACTCTGCTTTCACAAATCACTCAGAGCCACTGCTATTCTCCAGTCAGCAAGTGGTGTCAACAAGAGGGTGCTCATTGGGTTTTCCATGAAGGAAAAACAAAGTATCTTGCCATCTCCTTTCACATGGGAAGCAACATCTTTGGAAACTCAAGGCTGTCTAGATCTACCAGCTAGCAAGAGAAACAAATTGTAGTCTGAGTAAGAGGAAAGCAATCTGCAGGGCACTTGTCATTTGACGACTTACAGGAGAGTTAAAAACCAAACTAAAACCTCAAAGTGCACAAAAAGCTTTATTTACATACAAAAATACAGACATGGGCATTCAGTTGTTTTTTGTATCTCATAAAAACCAACATTAATAGACAAATCAGTGCAAGTAAGTTATTTTTTTGTAATTAAACTATTCAAAGCACAGACTTGTGAAATTAGAAATAAAACAGGAATTGTGTGATGCAACAATTTCGCTCATTTTTGCACCATCCTAGAAATCAAGTCTTCACAGATTTTTGTGAGTTCGTTGTTTTCCTTTGTCTGTTAAAAGAGAAGGAGACATATCAGAGATTGTAGGAGTTGCACAAATATTCAGAAAAGTCACCCATATTTTTACAGATTAGAATAGTTTGCACAGTGGGCCTCATTTTTAAGTAGCAAAATGCAAGGAGAAGCCTAAGAGGTGCTTGTGTCTGGAGTACACAAATCACAGCATTGTTTCATTTTAGGGATCTCAGCTGGAGCTAATGAGTAGCCCGGATGAGATGCAATTTGGGTCCAGTAGATTTTCATATAATACAGATTTCAGATGAGTTTTGCAGATATGGATTTAATCTGCAAGCAGCAAAGCCTTTGGAAGGCGGCCCCTCCACTCCTCTGCTTGAACCACCACTAACAGTCCCAAGCTCCAGCGAGAATTTAAGACTGACCTTTTGCTCAAGGCTGCTCTCTAGTGACTGGGCTCTCATCTGTTCTTTGCGCAAACTGGCTTGGAGCGCTGCCTCTTCGGCTTTGGCTTTGCTTCGTACTTGGGCAATCTCTTCATTTGCCCTGTCAAAAAGGCATGCAGGCGTATTAGCTTCTTCGTTAACACGGGCACTTTACTTAAATGCACTGCAATCTGAAGGACGGCTGGATCCCAACACCTCATTACTCACCGGCATAGCTTTTCTTCTGCGTGGGCCTTCAATGCTTGATATTTCTGTTCCTCCTTCTTAAGTCTTGTATTGTAATCCTCAACACATTTTTTCAAAGCCTCTTCGTTCTAGAAGAAAAAACAACCCCAGGCCATTTCAGAGGGGAGAGGACCTCTTAAAAATAATTGCGAGGGCAAGCCCAAATCTTGATCTGTCAAAAAGTAGAATCACTCTACACCAACACCACAAATTACACATTCAGCAAAATTCTGTTAAAACCTCTACAAGTGCATTGTAATACAGAAAGCTATACTGGTTGTATTCAGAAGAAAACAGGTTGAATGCATGTGTGCCACCTGTGCTATATCAAGTAATAGCACTTTAAGACATTTGGGATAACAGAGAAACTTCCATACCATTTCTTTAGTTTCCTGTCCAGAACCAACATCTCAGCAAATACTACATTTGGCATCAACGAAGCTCATCTAGCATTATTGATGTATGGTCCTTTAAAGCAGGGATTGGCAGTGTAGCACCTGCGGGTGTCCTTGTGTGTTTTTCTAGTTTGTTTTTAAGAATAGTTTGGGAGGGGTTGTATGGGGGGGGGGTAGAATAGCAGCCCTTCATCCATAGAGGGTTTTGCTAAAATATGCTCTGTGTGTGATTAAGGGAAATGCACTTGGGCGGAGAGGGAGAATTGTGTTGTGTGGGGGAGGTTGCTGTGTGGTCCGTACGCATCATCTGCACACGAGAGGGAGAAATGCAGGTCAGCTTTTTCTGTATTGGTGTAAGAAACATCTATGGATGAAGAGCAGTAAACTAACTAACTAAACAATAGTGACCACTTTGTATATTTTTCCTGGTACTGAGAAATGCTCTGTATTAGACAGCAACTGTGTGTGTGTGTGTGTGTGTGTGTGTGCGAGAGAGAGAGAGAGAGAGAGAGAGAGAGAGAGAGAGAGAGAGAGAGAGAGAGAGATTGATTTTGTATGATCCCCACAATTACGACCAGCAGGACATAAGCAACTTCCCATGTCAAACATGAGGTTGCCTGGGATTGGGAAAGTAGCAATGACTGCAGTATCTCCAGCTTTCTTATGCTATCCCCCATCCAGCCCTGGTCCAAAAAAGTTGGAGACTGCTGCTTTACATTTTACTCTGCAATTATTTTGATGTTCTTAGTAGTAAATGAATTTATTTTCAACCAAAGATGTCACGCTTGCCAAGTTCCCCCCCCTTAGTAATTAAAATACAGTGCAGCCTTCATAACAGGATCTCAAAATAGCCTGCCTCCACAGTTATAGTTGTTATATACGTGTTGAAATGTAATGTGTAATCAGGGATACACATGGGCTTTGCAGGCTTAAGAGTTGCAAAGGTGGGTGTGGCGTTTACCCACTCCTTGTGACTATGTTTGTACAGGGGGATGGAAATGGTTAATGTAGATTGACCAACGAGAAAGCTCAGAGGTGGAGCCTACCTGGTTTTGAGGCTCAGCCCAGGAGTTTTACCATTGGGAGATAGGAGTCAGAGCCAGTGAAAGTCGAACATAGCGGTTGTGACAGCTAGAGTGAGAGACAGGGATAGAATTGAGAGAGAAGAGTGTGACAGTGAGATAGTGCCACATCTAGTTAAGGGCAAGCATTTGAGAAACCGTTCTGAACATATTTAAAACTTGTTTGTTCTTCAATAAACTTTAATCTTCGTTCTTGACTTTACAACCTGACTGAGACTCAGTATTTCACCAGAAGAAACCTGGTTGGTGGCAGCGGAAGAATAAAGCAGTGGTGTACAGGTCAACAGTCTGTGAAACGACCAGGGGCTCTGTACGAACGCCACAGTGGGAGACCAAGAAACATAAGTGGCTGGCAGAGTTAAAAATGCTCACTTTCTGATATCCTTCTATTGCCTCCTTCTGCTTTTCAAATCGTTTGAAGAGCTCAGACAATGATTTTTCCACAGAATTCAGATCGGAGCTAATCTGCCGTTTTTCATCCAGTACTTTCTGCAGTTCTTTCTGGGCAAGCTCCTTTTCTTTCTGGGAATTCTCTAGAGAAACAGATAGATACAAATGAAATGCACTGCTTGCTCTCTAGGATCCAAAACAGACAACAGTCCAGAGATCTTTGTGCAAAAGCGCCCCATTACCCCCATGTCTAGGAGAGGCAGTTTTCAAGTAACCTCAAGAAAGGCTGCATATATTCAGAAATGTCAGATATGGTGCAGAATTTAGGACACAACGTGCAACAAAATAGAACAGGGTTTCTCAAACTCAGGTCTCCAGCTGTTTTTGAACTACAACTCCCATCATCCTGAGCTAGCAAGACCAGTGATCAGGGTGATGGGAATTGTAGTCCAAAAATAGCTGGAGACCCAAGTTTCAGAAACCCTGCATTGTTTGAACAGCTTCCTCAAGTTCATATTCAAGTTCATATTCAAATAATGCATATAAAACTGGCTTCTGTTAGCAGCTAGGCAGCTTTCAGTGTCTTGAGGACAATTAGCCTATAATAATGAAATATACAAATTAATGCTGTCCCTTAGAAGAGTGGGAGAACCACATGTTCCTGGACTCCAATTCCCATTATCCCTGACCATTTGCCATGCTGGCTAGGGCTAATGGAAGCTGGAGTCCAGCAACATCTGGAGGGTCAGATTCCCCACCCTGTCCTAGTTCAAGTTTATTAATAGAAGCAGCCACTATGGAGCAATCATCTTAACACTTAGATTGAACTATTCCCTGTGGATGTGAGGCGTAATCTGTAATGTAAAAGATTTTCCTAGTCTGTTTTTGATGCCATGTGGATGATCGCATACTGTATTTTAGTTATGTATTTGTCTTGGAAACACCACTTTGGATTTTTAAAAAAAAATATACCAAAGACTGACAGTCAATTTCTTCCAAATTAAGTTGATGGGCTAAGCCAGCCTCTCTCAAACATGCCCCCCCACCGATGTTGTTGGACTACAACTTCCTTCATCCCTGACTGGTCCCGATAGCTAGGGATGATGGAAGCTGTACATCTGGGGGACCAAGTTTGAGAAAGACTAGGCTAAACCAATATCAAGTAATCTCGAATCTCTGCTGCCGCCCCATACTTCTGTGATTCTCAATTCCTGTGCTTTCCTAGTCTTTGAAAAGTTTGGCAAGAATGGAGCTGGAGACTCTCAAACACGTCTTTGGAGCAGGAATACACAATGGTAGAGCACAAGCTTTACACACAAAGTTTCGAAAGTTGAATCCCTCGGTTGTACCAGGCCTCAAAACAAACAAACAAACAAACAAACAAACACACACAAAAACAAACCAACAACAACAACTCCTCACATCTGGCTGGGAGCCTTTGAAAGCTGCTGGTAGTCAGCATATAGTTCTGGCCAGATACAACAGCGGTATGATTCAGTACAAAGCACCCCTGCCCCCGTCTTCATGTTTTTGTAATTTGTACTTACCCATCACTTGTGCTACGGTAACTTCAAACTCCGCAACAATTGTTCTAAAAAAGAGAGCTTATTTTAATATGTATAGCAAGAAAGATCACTAATGACCCAGAACACTAAGCTTCCCATGAATGCTCTTCTACTTGAAGAAAGGTCATCTTGCACAGGGTGACTCTTCCTTTTTGTCTGTTGCTGTTTTTAATTACATTTTTTTTATCTCCACTGTAGTGGTAGTGGTGACAGTTCCCTCTCCTTTTGAGATAAGCCGCAAATAAAAATAATTTGCCCCTCCTAACAAAAATGGTCCTAATAAAGTTAGGCAACTCATGGAGGATCTAGACCAAAACAGGTATTTCACTTGGCAATAATGAAACATGGCCCGCCTGAAACCCTGGAAAGCAGCTGCCAGTCAGGGCAGAGGATCCTGGGTGAGATGGACCAATGCCCTGACTCAAAGTTACTTTAATAATTAGCAAAGCTTCAGCAGCACAGGACCATAGCTGTCAACCGTCCCTTATTTGGCGGGAAACTCCCTTATCCCAGCGCCGTGTCCCGCTGCTGTCCCTTATTGATGATGTCCCTTAAATTTCCCGGGTTTCATGCTCGCCCGGCTCAGGAGGAAAGCAGCGGCTTGGGATCCTCCGCTGTGAGAGCGCGTGCTGGCGCCGTCGTCCTGGTGCGAGGAATTCCATCGGCCCTTCCCTGCCCGAGACAGAGGGGAGGGAGAGACTCTCGCCCACGCTGCCCGCGAGCCCGGAGGCGGCAGCGGAGGAGACGGCCTGAGGGAGGAGGAAGAGGAGGGGATGGGGAGGGGTGGTAATAATAATAATAATAATAATTTATTATTTATACCCCGCCCATCTGGCTGAGTTTCCCCAGCCACTCTGGGCGGCTCCCAATCAAGTATTAAAAACAACGCAGAATGGCGGTGCCACAACCGCCCCATGCCAGATTGACAGCACCTGTCAATCCTACCAATGTATGTAACTCTTTACAATAGCAAAATCCGTTATTTTGGCTGCTGGTCCCTTATTTTCAAATCTGTAAGTTGACAGCTATGCACAGGACCCCTCCTAGGCCACGTTGCCCAGAATGCCTTGCTCCAAGGAAGGGCCCCAGCCATTTCTCAGAGTGAGGCTCAGAGGGAGCCTGAGGCATGCCTGGCACTTTTGCTGCATCAGCAAAGCAGTTCAACAGCTGAGGGGAAGGAAGTTAGGAGGAATAGCAGCCATGACAAAGGTGAGGAGGCAGCAACGACAGAGGCACCTCGGGCAGAACAATCATCCCAGTCAGTCCAACAGGTATCTGGCACTGCCCAAGGAACCAGCACTTGTTGCCTACCAGGAAGGAAGAGGAAGCTTCAGTTCCAAAGCAGAGTCAGATACCAGTTGAAATGGATCCATATATTTGGTGGTATTTAAGTCTTGCGAGAAAGCAACAGTAGAACATGCTTCTGTATCCCAGTTGTACACCTACCCCATTTCTTTATTTTCCAAATAGATCTTGTGATGCTTCCTTTCCCATTCCAAAGCTTCCATCTCCTTTTCTTGTACCTGAAACCACAAGGTCCCCAAAATGAGAGCGTAACAGTAATGGATGTCACTTTAGATCTGGGCTAGAATCAAAGCAACATCCAGAAAAGTCCTTGGCTAGACCTCATTCTACCTTAAGGACAACTGTACCATTTGATAAGAAAGCTTACTCTCTTTTGTATGGGCATTTGAGGAAGCCATTTATTTATAATCACCCAAGGAAAAAAGCAAAAATAAATGACCCTGGTAGTTTATATTGATCAGGAGCATTAGATGGAACTAATTTGATTAGTGTTCCAAAGATCAGTTTGAAAACTCCCATTGGTAAAGAAAATCTGCAGAAAAGTCTTGCAAAGTGGGCAAATGTTACCGGTCAGCAGGAAATCAAAAGTTGGTCAGCAGGAAATCAAAAGCCATTCTAAACAGTATCTTTCTAAATATTATCAACTCAAATATTCCTTCCCATGTTCTCACCTCGGAAGTAAGCTTTTTGATAACCGCGTCCTTCTCAAGTTTAACCCTTTCAATAGCTGTATCCATGTCTTGCTGAGTGTATTTCAACACTTCCACAATAGCCTCAGTAGGCAGCGCAGAAGGCAAAAATGAAATATCCTTAGTGGTTGGAATATCTGGAGAACCTCTGGCCTGTGACAAGAATTTAAAAACACATTTACATGTGATACTTTTATAATGCATTTTTGTGCTAACAGATACTCTAAGATGCATCAAGCTGAATCAGACAAACCATAGTTCCCTTGATGTCTAAACTGTTAAATGTTTTAAAAAACCATAGTTGGTTCATTTGAGTTTAAAATGTAATGCTTCTGACCTCTTCCAGCATGCAAGCCTGAGGTTCACCATGGCTCATTCACAAAATAGGAAACCATGATTTCATACTATTTCTGAACTGGGCCAATGTGTTGATCTTTTTTTAAAAAATTACAAACCACCTGTATCTGCAAACTACTGGAGATATTTAGATGGCACTTACCAGATTTGTTGAAGCTCCTAGAAGGTCTAGTCCCAATGCCTTTTCTTCAGGTTTAGATGTTTTTATTTCATTGACTGCCATTTCTCTAGATGGTCTAATTTAAAATAAGAAAAAATACTGAAACAATCCTAAATAGGCTCCAAAATTGAAGAGCACTAAAAATTGAATGCTTACCCATTTCGAACTGCATGTTCATTAGCACCAGGAGCACTTTTCTTAGGGCTTTCACTGAGCAGTGGATCAAATTTCAAGTACAGAGATTGCTTCCTCAAGACAGATTCTTTAAACTATGGGGAAGGAATTTGTAAGTAAGCGACGTACAGGCACAAGTCAGTCAGCCAAAGATGTGATTGCTTGGGGTACAGATCTTCCAAGTTGTATTAAAGAGCATCTCACAACCAAGGAAGTTTTGATACAACTCTAAAACAACCCAATAAAAGTAGATTCTTCTATATCTGTTTTGTGATTTAAGCAGCATATACCGTATTTTTCGCCCCATAGGGTGCACCGGCCCATAGGGTGCACCTAGTTTTTTTGGGGGGGAAATAAAGAAAAAAAAATTATTTCCCCCCAAGGCGTGGGAAGCCCGAGCTTCCCCCGACCCCAGCCCCCAGAACAGGCTGCTATCTGCAAGCCTAGGGAGCCCGGAGGGAAGTCGCGCCGGTCTCCCCAGGCTTGCGGATATCTGCCCGAAGTCGCGCAGCTCTCCCATGGCTTGCGGAGAGCTGCGCGAAGCTCGAAGCCTGAACTCAGCGTGCCCCAGGCTTCAGGCAGCTCTCCGCAAGCCGTAGGAGAGCTGCGCGACTTCACGCCGGGCTCCCACGGCTTGCGGATAGCTTCCTGAAGCCTGGAGAGCAAGAGGGGTCAGTGCGCACCGACCCCTCTCGCTCTTCAGGCTTCAATGAAAGCCTGCATTCGCCCCATAGGACGCACACACATTTCCCCTTCATTTTTGGAGGGGGAAAATGCGTCCTATAGGGCGAAAAATACGGTAGTTTAACTGGAAGAGAATGAAGACAGGGCAGTGTTTTGCCACAGAACAAGTTTAGCTCTTGTGTAAATGAGAAAATATACATAACACTGAGTTTATATTGGTAGGTAGACGTTTAGAGCTCTCCTCTGCAATTGCCTTCAGATCCTTAGGAGTATCTACTCCAGCCAAAGTCTCCTCTGCTTGAAATACCTTTAACTCTCTTTTATAGACTGTTCTAGTATAGTAAGCTCAATGCTGTAAAAATCTTAAAATCAGTTCACATAATGGTTACTTACTGAGGCCCTTCCAAATTGTTCCAGATAGTCCACTTCAATATTGAGTCCTAGAACTAAGCAAATGTGTTAATAAATGCAGAAAGCAATGGTTTTTATGTTATTAAAAGTAGAAGTAGCATGGGCAAAGATAAGATAGTCCTTTCTGGAGATGAGAAGTGCAAGCACATCTTCCTGCAATTTTTAGTAGCCTGTGCACCTTGTGGGAGTTACTAGTCACAGTTCAGCTCTTTCTACTTTTCATTTAAATTAATTTAACTTATGATTTAATCATGAAGGAACAGATAATTCGTCAAAGGTTCAGATCTAACATTATTTTGAACACTTTTGGAGTCATATGTTGCTAGATGAGGGATGGGGAGCCTGTGGTCAATTATCAGAATCTGGCAGGCTACAGGTTCCCAGCCCCTGGCTTGGTGGAGACATTTACTGGATCCATGGCTGTGCCTGGAACTTCAGTGAAAGCTAGAAGCACATATTGGTAAACTATTTAGAAGTTTATTATTTTTAGAATTAAGCTATATATAAATGAATAAAAAGCTATACTAGGCGTGCTGCAAGTGCTTTGCAGAACTTTGAGAATGGCAGTAGTCTGTCCTCCAATCAGGGTAGCACGTGAAGACATAGTCACAATAGTGCTTTATCGACAAATATTTGCACACTGATTTTTTTTGGGGGGGGGCGGATCCTTAAGACAAACGCCTACAAAGCGGTCTTCATAGGAGGAGAAGATATGATAGCCATCTTCAAATATCTAAAGGGCTGTCACGTGGAAGATGGAGCAAGCTTGTTTTCTCCTGCTCTAGAAGTTAGGATGCAAACCAATGGATTATAAGGATATTCCTACTGAACATCAGGTAAAAGCTGTTCAACAGTGGAAGATGGTGGACTCCCCTTTCTTTGAGGTTTTTAAGGAGAGGCTGGGTGGCCACCCGTCATCTAGCTGAGATTCCTGCATTGCAGTGGGTTGGGCTAGGTGACACTCAAAATCTTTATAATAAATCTGGTAATTTGTACTTATGATGTCAGTTTGTTTGTGCTCTATGTAATTGTCCAAGCATGGGAAACAAAATTAGGTATAACTAGGAAAAAAAATTTGCACAATAATTAGAAGGGCCTAAAAGGTCCATAGTTCCAACTACTCTTACCTTCTGAGGGTGATCGGAACTCTTCGTTTTCTGTATCTGCAACCTGGTTGTTTTCATGCATTACTGTTGCAGGCCTTTCGCAAGAAGGCTGGAGCAAAAAGCCATCTCCAGGCAACTCTCCATTTAAAGACAAGTTACCCTAAGAAGCAAAGTTTAAAGAAAATATTCCTTAAAGTGGAGAGACGAAATAAATCGCACAGTAGTGTAATTGCTCCGCTTCACTTTACTGAGTAGCTGCGGCAGAGGACCAAGTTCTCAAAAATCAATAAACACATTTTAAAAAGTCATTTTGCCATTGCAGACGGCTGCGTTTTTATATGTAAGTAGTGTTATATTAAAAAGTGTTTTTCTTCCCCAAGGTTGTTATATTAGCAATATTATTGCTTTGCTTTGAATTCTGGAACTTGATTACAAGGTCTTTAAGATCGTGGATTTATTATTCAAATACCACAAGTCTTCTTATAAAAGGTGAATGAACTAATATTAATAAAAACTTTACTTTAGCAATATAGTAAACTTAAGAGGTTTTACTACAATCAAGTGGTATTTACATCTGTTAAATTAAATCAAGTGCCTAAGTAGTACATCTGTTGAAATCTCAGAAGTATGTTTGTGTTTACTTCAAATGACCAGGACTGAGATAGGCTTTCCTGCTCTGCATAGTGCCTCTCACTCACCATGATAAGGGGTGATTCAAAACCACTACAAGCATATGCAAAACTTGCCTACGCAGGTGACAGAATTCAGCTTTGAAACTGAATGCTTGTGCAGTTTTGTTTTCCATTTTGGCAAGTATGCACAGCTTTGAGTATAACAATGTACACAGGGCCATATCATACCATCAAATCCACTGACTGTTCAGCTGGAGTTTCTGCTTCAGCCACAGCTTGATTTTCAGCTATAATCTGCTCATCACTCTCTTTCCTATAGGGAACAAGACAGCATATGTTATAGAACCTGACAGCTAACAAAGCCTGGTTCAACGTGCTTTATAAATTACCTTCCATAACTTTATAATTCAATTTTGTGCACAAACAGTATAACTTGCACAATTTCAATCTTGCACGGCAGAAAGGCAGCCAGGTTATTTGCACCCCAATCCGACAAATCAATCGCATGCAGGGTAGAGAGCTTAAAAGCTCCTCTTGTGCCCCTGGGTTTTCCCCATCACTGAAAGAGCTTTTAAGCTCTCCGCCTTGCTCACTGGGTTCTGGGATGCTCTTGCAGGAGCTCGAATGGTCCTGCAAATCACATGGGAGCATCCCAGAGCCCAGTAAGCAAGATGGAGATTTTAAAAGCTCTCTGCCTTCCTTGAAAGGTAAGGATGGTCGTGGGGGCAGTTCCAAGGGGGTAGTTACAGTATAGAAGTTTTATACATACACATGCCACCCACAGAACGCAACGCCCATAGTGCAATAGTACGATATTTAAAATACCACAATTTTTAGCAAGAACCTGTCTTTTGATGTGCGGGATAATCGCTAGTGTCAGACTTAGACCTGGAACACCAGGGTTCAAATCCCCACTTGGCCTTGAAGCACACTGGGTGACCTTGGGGCAGCCACTGCCTCTCAGTCTAACATACATCACAGAGTTGTGGGGGTGACATGTTAACCACACCACCTTAAGGTCCTTGGAGAAGAACAAGACTGTTTATGAACACTGTTTTCCTTAAGCATGTCATTAAACAGTTTATAGCTAGTTCTACTACACAGAACTGAGTAGCATGAAATGATAAGAGAAGCCTGAATAGTTCCAATATATGCTGTTTTCTTCCCCTACCTGTCTTGGGTTCTCTAACTTGCTAGTTTTTGGGACTGATATAAAGTTGCAAGCTTTTTAAATTTGTACTACTTCATTTCCCAAGCCCAGGACTGCTCCAGATTTAGTGTTAAAATACTCACAATTTCTCACTTAATAGTTCTGCAGCTTCAAAGTCATCCGGTTGATTGTGCAACTGTGCTTGAAGTATTTTGGACAAAATACTATCCTCCTGGGTATCTGTTGTTTTAGTTCTGGGCATAGGACACTCAAGGGAATTTTGCATTTTTGAAACACCCCCTAATGGATTGAAGTCAGGATCGTCAAATTTATTGCAGTCCAGGCTATAAGATGCTTTGTGGACAGAACTCTTTGTTGCAGTGTTGGTTCTCTCTTCAGCTTCCTCCAGCACTTTGTGAGTTGAAGCTGGTTTCCCAGAAGGAACCTTCATTCCAGCACCCTTGCCTGGTTTCCTTGGAGATACCTTATTAGTTGCCTTTTCAAGCATATCTGGTTCCAGTTTTATGAATTCAGGTTTTGTTACGTGAACCTCCCCCTCACACTCCGGCAAGATGCTGTTCACTGCTGTGGAATTTTGCCACTCTGATTCCTCAGTCTGAAAAGGTTTTATTTCACCGCAGCTGACATTCTCAGAGCTACAGGATCCTTGCACGTGTTGCGAGGGAGAATTTTGTATGTGGGATATTGACAACGGCTCAGATTTGCAGACTCCGTTAGAAACTGTTGCCAAATCAGAGCTTAGAAATTGCTTTGACACATCATTGTTTGCCGATGGGGTTTTGCAACCTGTTTCCTCATCAGATGGATTGTTCTCTGTAGCAGTCTGAGGCAGGCAAACTGCATCAAGAGAACCGCCATCCTGTTTCTCAGCTGCAGCAAACACTGCCAAAGACGATATTTTCACAAAGTCGTCAGTAGGCAAGTCAGGGATATTTGCTCCTTTGCTTTCTGCTGACATTACATCATCTGAAGAATCAGGATTTACCTTTCCTTCCACCTCTATCTTCTCACTTGCAATATCAGCATCTAGGGTAACTGTTTGTTGACTCCTGTTGAAAGGTAGACCCATCACTAGCTAGTTAATACGGCCTTTGAAAAATAATTAAAATAAAAGAGCCGCATTTGGCACATAGGAAAAGAGGCTTTTGTTAGGTGCAGCCCAATGCTTACGAACAGGGCATTTACTATCCACTTCAGTTTGGCACAAAACTGGAATTCTGTTTCCAAAATGGCCAGCTACCATCCTCCTGCAGTAGCTCTCTCATGAGCCATAGCACCTGCATCTGGAAAATTTATGTCAAACTTAGTGTTTGTCTTCTACACTGTATTCAATGTGGAACTGGAAATGTATACCCCAAAATAAGCTTTTGGCCGCCTCAAATGCTATATCCAAACACCTCCAGGAAAGAGTCTTCTATGAGAAGGCATTAAGTAGTGTCCTGCCCAATGCTTCATTTGGTTGCAAGACACTGCACCCTAAAATGCTGCATCCAGATTTACAGGTAAGTGCCCCAATGCATTCTCTGGGCACAATACCCTGCCAAGTATGAGCCCAAGCCAAAATTAGACAAACTATCTCTAAATAAGGAATGGAGGTGTGCACCCCCACAAAACTCTGAATCACACACTCAGGAGTCAGTTTGCACATATTTTGGCAATTACTGGTGTGGAACCATGCACTTGTCAGTAACTTACACAAAGACTAAGCGTATGGCATCTACACATTCTGGGTTGTGTAGGTATATGATTTGTGGTGGGCTATTATAGGTATAGGTTACACCATCAACAGTATCTTGCACCTAAACTAAGTGTGGGACTAGACACTACTCACTGCCACCTTGTAGATGACACCCTGGAGAATGACTTCTGCAGACTTAGGCCAATCTTCACATGATATCCACTCAATATTTCTTTTTTTATGCTTCTTTTTTATTATTAAAGATTTTCTTGTTTTACAGAAGTATGTGTAATGTCTCTCGTATTTTTTCCATGTAAAATTTTTACAAATCAGTTTCATTTGTTGAGACATTAGGGGGGAAGATGGGTGGGTGTGGGGTCGGGTGGCGATGTTTCTATTTTGCTTAATGTATGTAGGGTTTGGTGTCAGCGTTTCCACTCAATATTTCTAATGCCCAAAAATGTCACCAAGTGGAAGACTCCTTCAGAAATCATGGGCTAATGCAACAATCTGTTCTAGCACTTAAGTCAATGCTGCTGCTCTTAGCTTTGAAGGACCAGAAGAAACGCTTCCTGTAAAATCTCAATTGTCAGCTTCTAGGAAGAAAAAGTCAGTCACCTCTCTCACTGAATCAGAAAAGACAGCTGCAAGAGAGTATTCTAGAGAGCAGGGGCAATCATACAACCTTTTCTAGTTTTAATTTTTAAAAATACATCAAGAGGATCTGATTTACTCACATAGCACTGGATGCAGACAAAACAAAATCCTCTGGGATATCTGTGCAGTCACCTATAACAGGTGTTTCAGGAATCTTCCTGTTATCTGGACTTAGGATTCTGTGAGTCTGAGAATCCCGCATAGGAGTATGAAAAGTTACCTTGGAAGAGAAAGTCACACAAATTACTTGAGCAAGCACACACACACAAAACCCTAAGAGCACACATGCATGCACATCCATGAGTATTGATACCCTTCCTTTCCACTAAGGAGGCCCTCAAGGCAGCTTATAAAATAATAAAGGCATCAATAAAGATGCCCATAAATATGATTAATAAAGAACAGATATTAAGCAACTAAAAGTATTAAAAACTGCACAGAGCTAGTACTAATACAAGTAACTAAGCAACAGAGATCCTGTGTTCCTTTATAGTGATGGGTACATTTCAAAGGAATTCAATAATAAGTCCTCCCTCACATTCCCATCACTGTAAAGGAACACAACCGCCCAACAGGCATGGTGGTAACAATTGGGGAAATTCTGCGTATGAGTTACAAAGTCTGTCCGCTATAGTTATCCCATAATAAAGTGAGACCTGAATATCAAACGCTTGGGCCATGTAATGCCTCTCCATGGTTCCATGTTACACATACCTACAATGAAGACCATTGCCAGTGTATACATTACACTTGCTGCTGGTCCATGACCCTTGAAGGGTCAGCTTGCTGTTGCCAGTGCACTTGGTGAAACTTAAGTATTTGTCAGCACAGAAACCCGTTGGACCAGGCCTTTAACACAGAAAATTATGCTGGACATTAACACAGACATACCTTCATAGGCTTTACCATCCCCTTCGGTGGCACATTTTCTTTCTGTGATGGGCGAAGAATAGAAGGTCTGCCTACGACTTCTGGAGATGTGAAAAGTATGGCACAGCTTTCAGCAGCTATGTCGTTGCTACCGTTATCTCCACTTAAGGTATGCAGACTCATTCTAGAAATGAAAGCAAAGGTGTTAACAACCATAGCCAGGCTGACAATGTTGTTTTAATGCAACTGGATACTTCTAGGTGGGAACCTGTGGTCTCATAGGTCAAACCCTGTGGCTCTCCAAGTTATTGGACTCAACTCCTATGGACAGGGATGATGGGAGTTGGAGTCCTGCAAGTACTCAGAAATCCAGTTTCTCATCCATTCTCTAAAGTGTACAGCTCTTGTAAACAAAATTCAGTGTCACTCAGGTTACCATTAACACTATTCTAAGCCACAATGAAGTATAAGCTGTGCTGCCAAAAGCAATACTGCAAAAACAAGATTAAGCATCTCTTCAAATGTAGGATGTTCTCACTTGGTGCTGTGGCTGTAAGTTTAGGGTGTTTTGAGACTGTGGGTGTGGAAGGGCTTTTCTTAAAAAAATCAAGGACATGTATAGATATCCCTTACAAATGAATAAACAAAAAAAAGGGAACATCCTGGCGTCCCCCTCCGTAAAAAAAAAAAGTAAGTTAACCAACTAATAGCCAGTTACAGTACAGTGTTTTGGGCTTACAAGTTGTAGTAGAGGAAACTTAGATCCTGGATCAGGAGCATTTCAAGGGAGTCACTACGGGCGTACAAGAACAAAAAAGAAAGTGGTGGTTTGAAAGGGCACTTAGCCTCCACATGGCTTTCAAACGCCATCCCAGGAGAAGCTAAACTGGCTCCCTCCTTGTTGTCCTTCTGCCGGCATATCCAAGGGAAGACCACCTTGTTCCAACAGGTTTTTGGGAACAGACTGCTTTTAATGAAAGAGCACCGGCTCCCAGTACATTACCGAGCACAAGTCAAAGTGTTGGTGCTGACCTTTAAAGCCCTAAATGGCCTCGGCCCAGTATACCTGAAGGAGCGTCTCTACCCCCATTCAGCCCAAACACTGAGGTCCAGCTCCAAGTGCCTTCTGGCGGTTCCCTCACTGCTAGAAGTGAGGTTACAGGGAACCAGGCAGAGGGCCTTATGGGGAGTGGCGCCAGCCCTGTGGAACGCCCTTCCTTCAGATGTTAAGGAAATAAAACAACTATCTGACTTTTAGAAGACATCTGAAGCCAGCCCTGTTTAGGGAAGCTTTTAATGTTTGATGTATTTATCAAGTTTTTAATATTCTATTGGGAGCCACCCATAGTGCCTAGGGAAACCCAGTCAATGGGTGGGGTCAGGGCCAGTTAGGTTTGATGAGGCCCATAGCTACTGAAGGTAATGGGGCTCTTTATATGTCCAGCTTTCCTTTGTCAACTACCAATTGTCATTGTTTTTGGTGCTGAATATATGCTATATAGTAATTTATGGAGCTAATAGGTATCTAAACAAAACATGTATTTTACCATAGGAATTGTTGAACTTATATTTTGGAAATGTACAACCAGTTTTTCCCCCTTTATTTTTTTTGGGGGGGGGGGGGCAAGAGAGTGGGGCCCTAACTATAGCTTGTTTAGCTTCTATGTAAATCCAGGTGGGGTATAAATCATTATCATCATTACTATAGCATAGCCGTTCTCATTGCCATTATCTGTACAGTATATTTTTTGCACATATACGAAGTATTAATGTTTGACTGGTTAAAAAGAGAGAGAGATGCCGCCCGTCCCCCCGTTTTTAGCTGCTTTCCTTTTTTCTGTCACCTTGAGGTCAAAATGCGGGGGGGGGGGGGACGGGACTGGACAACGTTAAGGCCTAATAGCCAAAGACGGACCAAGGCTGGATGTACATTTCCAAAATATAAGGTAAGTTCAACAATTGTTGTTGCAACAACAACAACAATTGTTGAACTTATATTTTGGAAATGTACATCCATTTCTTCCCCTTTTTGGGGGGGGGGGGGCAAGAGAGTGGGGCCCTAAGCTATAGCCTGTTTAGCTTCTATGTAAATCCGGCACTGGGTGGGGGATAAATCATTATCCTCATTACTATAGCATGGCCGTTCTCATTGCAATTATCTGTACGGTATATTTTATGCACATATACGCATGCATATACGAAGTACAGTGGTACCTCGGGTTAAGTACTTAATTCGTTCTAGAGGTCCGTTCTTAACCTGAAACTGTTCTTAACCTGAAGCACCACTTTAGCTAATGGGGCCTCCTGCTGCTGCCACGCCGCCGGAGCACGATTTCTGTTCTCATCCTGAAGCAAAGTTCTTAACCTGAAGCATTATTTCTGGGTTAGCGGAGTCTGTAACCTGAAGCGTCTGTAACCTGAAGCGTCTGTAACCCGAGGTACCACTGTAATAATGTTTAACTGGTTAGAAAGAGAGAGAGATGTTGCCCCCCGCCTTTTTAGCTGCCTTCCTTTTCTCTGTAAGCCACCTTGAGGTAACAAATGCAGGGAATAAAAACGGGACGACGCTAAGGCCTAATAGCCCAAGACGGACCAAGGCAGACAGGTATGCAAGGGAAGGTTCCTCCTCCTTTGGGGGGGGCGCGACCCCCTCCAGCCGCTTTCCCGTTCCTCACGGCCCTCCCTCCTTCCGCTGAGGGCATGGACCAGGGGCCGAAGCCTCCTCCCAAAAACCAGCGGGAGGGGAGGAGACCGAAGGGGGGCTTTTTCCGCCCCCCCAACACCCCTCCCCCGCCTTCCCTGAGGGAGAAACCGCCGCCCGACTCCGCTCACCTGCCTCCCTTCCAAAGCACTCGCTGACCCGAGAGACGCCTATTCACCAACTGAGGGAACCGCCGCCGCCGCGTTCAAATTTTCAGCGTCGGCCCGCCTCCGCCAATAAAAAAAGCCCATTGCCGCGTTGCGTCAGACGCCACGTGGCTTGCCGCCGGCCAACCAGGAGAGGCGGCGGCGGCAGGCATGCAAAGCGAGCCCAGAGGGCGGTGGAGGCGGAGCTTGGCTAATATTATTAACGCATGCGCACAACCGCCTGCCGTGCAATTTCCTAAGCTAAGTGCAGGGAATGGGGCGCTTTATATGTCCTGCTGTCCTTTGTCAACAGCAAATTGCCGCTGTTTTGTGTGTTGAACGTATGCTATATGTCGAAGCAAAATTTTAAAATTTCTTCCTTTTTATTTTGTTTCGACTAGGGCAGACCAACACGGCTGCCTGCCTGTAACTAGAAATATGCTATATGGGAATTGATGGACCTAATAGGTATCTAAAGCCATTTGCACATAACAAAAGATGTATATTATCAAAGTAATTGTTGAACTGAAATGCAGTTAAGAAGTAGTATATTAATAGTGAAATACAATTAAGAAGAAGTATATTCATAGTGAAATAATTATGAAGCTCAAACTTAAAATGATTTTTTTATTCATAACAAACTCAATAATGCAAACACGTTGGCATTTGGCAATAACAAAAGTTCCTTTAGAAACACAATTTACAAAGGCTCATAATCTAGTCTCTAGAAACTTGGTATAACATGAAATAGCAATAGGTGTAAATATATGGTGGAAACTACTAATAATTATAAATAGCTTTATTAACATTAACCAGTCCATGTAGAATGTAGGCACCCTATATATAGAAATGAGCAAACCAGTGATATTTTAGGGAGCAGGCAGGGCCATTACTTACACCATCGGAGCCTACACAGCCCAAAACACTGTTGCTGTAGGTGATTTTATTTTATTTGTATTTTATCTTATATTTTGGAAGTGTACATCCATTTCCCCCCCTTTAATTTTCTTTGGGTTCCCCAAGAGAGTGGGACCCTAAGCTATAGCTTGCTTAGTTTTTAGGGGGTTTTGAATGTTTTATGTAGTTTTTATGTAGTTTTTAAATTTCCTTGTTCTGCATGGGACAATGACAATAAAGATATCTATCTATCTATCTATCTATCTATCTATCTATCTATCTATCTTATAAGGAAATCCGGCCCTGGTTCTGGGGGCTCCTGCCCTCCGTGCTTCGAGTGCCCGTCCCTGGGACCCTCGGACGCTTTCCCCCCGGGCAGAGAGCCCTCTGCCGCTCTGCTCCGACCGGGACTGGCTGAGCGCTGCCCCCTGGACTACACTTCCCAGAATGCACCGCGCGCGGGGAGAAGCCCGGCCTGGAGCGCGGACCGGGCCTTCGCCGCCTCCCGGGGCCTCCAGCGGCCTTGCCCGCCCGCCCGCCCGCTCGCATGGAGAGCCCCGCCGCCACCTTCAGCCTGGCCTACGTGGTGCTGGCCGTCTGCTTCGTCTTCCCGCCCAACGAGTTCCACCTGGCCGGGCTGACGGTGCAGAACCTGCTGGGCGGCTGGCTGGGCAGCGAGGACGCGGCCTTCGTCCAGTACCACCTCCGGCGCGGCGCCGCCACTCTCCTGGCCCACGCCCTGCTGCCCCTCGGTGCGTGAGCGGGAGGCAGGGAGAGGGGGCTGCGGGGGGAGGAGGGGAAGGGCGGGCCCCTCACCACTTGCCCTTCCGTTTACTTATTTATTTGGATTATTATTATTATTTATTTATTTGGATTATTATTATTATTTACTTATTTGGATTATTATTAATAATAATAATAATTTTTATGGATCATTACTATTTATTTCTCTTGATTATTATTATTATTTATTTCTCTGGATTATTATTATTATTTAATTTGGATTATTATTATTATTATCATCATCATCATCTTTCTATACTGCCCCTTACGGTCCAGTGCCAGGGTATAAGCCACACAAGCTATAGCTTAGCACCCCACTCTCTTGGGGGCCCCTAAAATTTTATTATTATTATTAATTTTTATGGATTATTATTATTTTTATTTATTTCTTTGGATTATTATTATTTATTTCTTTGGATTATTATTATTATGATTATTTATTTCTTTGGATTATTATTATTATTGTTATCATCATCATCATCTTTCTATTCTGCCCCTCACAGTCCAGTGCCAGTGTATAAGCCACACAAGCTATAGCTTAGAGCCCCACTCTCTTGGGGGCCCCTAAAAACGTTTAAAGGGAAAACATTGTATTTCACTATTAATATAAAAAAAATTCCTTCCAGTAGCACTTTAGAGACCAACTAAGTTTGTTATTGGCATGAGCTTTCGTGTGCATGCACACTTCTTCAGATGCCAGTGTGGTGCCTTCTATAGTTCTAGTTACAGGTAGGTAGCCGTGTTGGTTTGCCAATTTTATTTTGTTTCGACTACGGCAGACCAACATGGCTTGTTGTTGTTGTTTAGTTGTTAGTCGTGTCCGACTCTTCGTGACCCCATGGACCAGAGCACTCCAGGCACTCCTGTCTTCCACTGCCTCCCGCAGTTTGGTCAGACTCATGCTGGTAGCTTCGAGAACACTGTCCAACCATCTCGTCCTCTGTCGTCCACTTCTCCTTGTGCCCTCCATCTTTCCCAACATCAGGGTCTTTTCCAGGGAGTCTTCTCTTCGCATGAGGTGGCCAAAGTATTGGAGCCTCAGCTTCAGGATCTGTCCTTCCAATGAGCACTCAGGGCTGATTTCCTTCAGAATGGAGAGGTCTGATCTTCTTGCAGTCCATGGGACTCTCAAGAGTCTCCTCCAGCACCAGAATTCAAAAGCATCAATTCTTTGGCGATCAGCCTTCTTTATGGTCCTGCTCTCACTTCCATACATCACTACTGGGAAAACCAAAGCTTTAACTATACGGACCTTTGTTGGCAAGGTGATGTCTCTGCTTTTTAAGATGCTGTCTAGGTTTGTCATTGCTTTTCTCCCAAGAAGCAGGCGTCTTTTAAATTCGTGACTGCTATCACCATCTGCAGTGATCATGGAGCCCAAGAAAGTAAAATCTCTCACTGCCTCCATTTCTTCCCCTTCTATTTGCCAGGAGATGATGGGCCCAGTAGCCATGATCTTCGTTTTTTTGATATTGAGCTTCAAACCATATTTCGCGCTCTCCTCTTTCACCCTCATTAAAAGGGTGAAACCAACACGGCTACCTACCTGTGGCTAGAACTATTAATATACTTCTTCTTAATTGTATTTCAGTTCAACCATTACTTTGATAAATTACATATTTTGTTATGTGCAAATGGCTTTAGATACCTATTCGGTCCATAAATTACCATATAGCATAGGTTCAACACAAAAAACAGCGGCAATTTGTTGTTGACAAAGGACAGCTGGACATATAAAGAGCCCCATTACCTTCAGTAGCATAGGGCCTCATCAAACCTAAATGCGGCCCTGCCCTCACCCCAGGATCACAGGGTGGTTTGCAATATTAAAAGCGCAAAAATGCAGGACATTCTGTGAACGTCCCTGAGACCTCTGGGTAAAGGGCAGGGATGTAAATTAAATAAATGAAATAAAAATAGCAACAAACAAAAACAATGCCCTCCACCATTGGAAAGTCCAGTGATGGCTGAATCAAGCCAAAGTCCTGGGAAAGGAATGTTTTTGCCTTCACGAAGGCATTCCCCATCTTTAGGAGTCTGGGGAGAGGGCCCCACGAACATGTGCGCTGGGGAAAAGTTCCTAAGCAGTTGCTCCCTTTTTTCTGTTTCTCCTTCGCTGCTCTCTCTTCTCCTCTCTACACCTGTATCCCTATAAAAACTAAGCCTGCCATGTAAGGTTTTGCTTTGCTCGTTTGCTTTGAGACGCATGTAAAAGAGATGGTTGGAAGGGAAGTTCAAGTAGGGTTCTCTCTTTCCCCTCCATAGCTGTCAAACGTCCCTTATTTGGCAGGACAGTCCCTTATCCCAGCGCCATGTCCCGCTGCTGTCCTTTATTTATGATGTCCCTTAAATAAGCTACTGAAGGTAATGGGGCCCTTTCTATGTCTAAATGTCCTTGGTCAACAACAAATTGTTGCTGTTTTTGTGTGTTGAATATATGCTATATGGTAATTTATGGACCTAAAGCCATTTGCTTGCAACAAAATATGTATTTTATCAAAGTAATGGTTGATCCCTTATTTTGGCTGCTGATCCCTTATTTTCGAGGCTGCTGGTCCCTTATTTTCAAATCTCTAAGTTGACAGCTATGTTCCCCTCCCTGACTACCCTATCACAGTGTAGATAAGGCACAGTTTTCCGGGGATGAAAGTGCGGCAGGGGGAAGAGCGTTTACAATGAGAGAAGGATATGTGGAAGTTCAGTGTCTGAAATGTGAACTGTCAAGATGTTAGGTTCTTGTTGGAAGCTTTAAGTAACACCTACATGTATGTCAAGGGACGCGGGTGGCGCTGTGGGTTAAACCACAGAGCCTAGGGCTTGCCAATCAGAAGGTTGGCGGTTTGAGTCCCCGCGACGGGGTGAGCTCCCATTGCTCGGTCCCTGCTCCTGCCAACCCAGCAGTTTGAAAACATGTCAAAGTGCAAGTAGATAAATAGGTACCGCTCTGGTGGGAAGGTAAACAGCGTTTCCGTGCACTGCTCTGGTTCGCCAGAAGCGGCTTAGTCATGCTGGCCACATGACCTGGAAGCTGTACGCCAGCTCCCTCAGCCAATAAAGCGAGATGAGCACGCAACCCCAGAGTCGTCCGCAACTGGACCTAATGGTCAGGGGTCCCTTTACCTTTACCTTTACATGTATGTCAGGTTATTTTCTCTCTCTCCTAAAAGTACTTTTCTTCTCCCTTGCAGGTTACTATGCTGGCATGTGCTTTGCGGCACCCGAGAAACAACTTTGCAGTTTTTATCAGGCTCCAGAAGGCTGGAGAGTCTTTTTATTGTTGGCTCTTCTTGCCCCAACCATTGCTGGTATCCTGATATATTACTGGTCACGAAATGGCTGGAATAACCACCCATTAGTCAAGACGCTTTCCCTTTATGCCCTCCCACAGTCAGGCTGGAGGGCAGTGGCTTCCTCTATCAACATCGAATTCAGGAGGATTGACAAGTTTGCTACGGGAGCCCCGGGAGCCCGAGTCATTGTTACAGACACCTGGATCATGAAAGTGACCACATACTGTCTACATATTGCGCAGCAGCGAGACATCTTTCTGACTGTGGTGGACTCCAGACAGCATGAACTCTTGCCAGACTCAAACATGCCTGCACAGTTCCTCACAATTCGTGTTGCCAGTATTAATCCTCATGTGAAACCTTTTACTATCCGGTAAAATGGGCATATATATTTTTTAGTTTTGTCAAGGGGAATGTGATCTCAATACAATATTCCACTATCTCTTGGTTAGAGCTGTATTAAGCAGAGGCTTGACAACCATATGTCAGGAGTGCTCTGATGGTGTTTCTTGCTTGGCAGAGGGTTGGACTCGATGGCCCTTGTGGTCTCTTCCAACTCTATGATTCTATGATTCTATGTATATTTAAAGCAAGGTTGCCTATATGTGATAATTTGGTACAATTTGTTTCAATTAAATATATTCAGAGCTCAGGAAAACTTGGGTAAACATAAGAGTTGAAGAGGTTTTAAAGGTCTCTGTTGCCTGTTGCTCACAAGTTACTCAAGTGAGGGCATTCCAGAGAATGGGGGCTATCGCCAAGAAGGCCTGTTTCCATCAAGTGACAATCTGTTGGCTGTGAAACAGCCAATAGGATCTCCTCTGATCATAAAGATTGGCTTGGTTTGTACTTGTGGGAGGTGGGCTGCTAAGCATCCTGGTCCCAAGTTGTTTTGGGCTTTAAATAGCCACAAAACCTTGAACTTTACCAATGCAGATACTGTACTTTTAACACTAGTACATTATGTTAGACACCCGAGTGTTTGCCCGAGTGTTAGACACCTGAGTGTTTTCCCTAGCATAGCTTGAACCACTTAATGGCAGGATATCAGTGTTCAACCTAGTCATTTTAAAAGTGCTTTTCAAATCAATGGAGGAGACTTTAACAAAACATTTCCCTCCAGTTTGTGGAGGCACAAATGAATACATAAAACGTTGTGAGTCATATGCAAACTCATTTGATGCTAGTGAGAGTTTTCGGTCATCTAAGACATTTAAATAACCCACTGAAAAACAAAAGTTGAAATTTGGTTGTGATTTTTTTTATATAATATGCTGCAAAATCAGTATGGATTAGTTTGTTCCTAGTCTGTAATTAAAATGAGATAAAAGTAGCCTTGGTATTTGAGACTGTGTCTCCTTTCTGTAAAGCTCACATATAAAATACAAAGTACAATTTCTTTTACACTTGCAAATGGCTGATATGAAACTCTATCTGTCTTAGGCTGAATTCAACAGAATATGGTGAACTGAGAGAAAAGCTCCATGCTCCCATCCGTAATGCTGCTAACGTGGTCATACATCAGAGCCTCAGTGACTTGTTTCTGGAAACCTTTACCTCTTTGGTAGAGACTAATCAGGCATACAGTGTTTCAAGCAATCAGGTAGGTTCAAGATTGGAGATTATAACTTATTTTTTCATGTTGCCTTTATTTCACAGTTGGTGGAGTGTGGGCAAGTTGGTAGATTATGACTAAACCTAGAGTATGTTGCCAAATACCAGCTTCCCTGTTGAATATAAATAGCCTCAGGTTAATTGATAAGAATTAATTGATAAGAGTTAATTGATAAGAGGTTAATTGATAAGAGTTAATTGATAAGAATAATGATCTGTTGTGAGCTTGACGGAAGTGTACAAAAGATGAGCTTTCCTGCTTTGGCTCATCTTCGTTTTTCTTTTTTCTTTTCTTTTATCTTTCCCATAGTTGCTTATGTTCTGTGTCATGTACTTTGATATTTTTTGTAGTTTTTGTAGTTTTCCCCCCCATTACTATTAAGGAATTTTCCTTTGTAATGTTGGTTGTCTATATTTATATGTACCTGTTTATATGTACCTGTTAAAAGCAAAATAAAAGTTATTAAAAAAAAAATAGCCTCAGGTGACAAGATCTGCTTCATATCTTCTGAAGTACCGTATTTTTCGCTCTATAGGACGCACCCAACCATAGGACGCACCTTGTTTTAGAGGGGGAGAACAAGAAAAAAAATTTCTCCCCCTCTCTGCTCAGCGCCCCTTCAGCGAAGCGGCAGGAGAAACGGAGCCCCTTCCATTTCTCCTCCCGCTTCGCTGAAGGGGCGCTGCGCAGCCATCTCTGCTGAAGCCGGGAGAGTCTTGCTCTCCCAACTTCAGCAAAAGGAACCTGAAGCCTTCGGAGCACAGCGCAAGTTCCCACTGCGCTCCAAAGGCTTCAGGCGGCTATCCCTGAAGCCTGGAGAGTGAGAGCTCTCCCTCTGCGCTTTGGAGGCTTCGCGTTGCTATCACTGAAGCCAAGGAGCCTGCATTCGCTCCATAGGACGCACACACATTTCCCCTTAATTTTTGGAGGGGAAAAAGTGCATCCTATAGAGCGAAAAATATGGTATATCTTAAGCATGCACTTGGCCATTTAAAAACCAATATTTTGCATATAGCAAGTTCAGCAATGGGGACAATATCCAACTAAACTACACAGTTCCACTAATACGAGCACTTCTTGCTGCACGGCAGAACATTCCTCCCCTCTTCTCAAGTATCCCCTAAATTTGACTGGGGGAAGCTCAGAACCTATTTGGTGAATGTGCAAGGAAAGGAGAGGAATTTCTGCTGCACAGCCAAAAGTGCAAGCAGAACTGTTCAGTTGAATTCCATCTACTATAAGTTTTTAGTATCCCTGTGTGAGTGACTGAAACAGGCTGTAGTGAAGTTGGGAACTTTTAGCAAGTTAAAACTTTGGCTCATGCCAAAGGAGAGCATTATGGGAGAGCCAAACACTATAGAATTCTGGGAAAGTGTATCTGGTTCTTTAATTGCCGAATTTTTGTCTTCAGAAGTGTAAATTGGGTGTCTCCTTTCTCAGTAGGAAAGGGGGTTTCTAGTTGATTTGTGCTTCTTGACACCTGGCTGTCCTGGTGGATTCAGTGTGAATGGGCTATCTGGTTAATTTACAACTCAAAGAATCTGGTTGTCTGTGGGAATGCTTTAATCTTCAAGGCCCCTCTGATAAACAGGATTCAGCTGTCGAGTCTCCTAACAAATCTGAGTTATTGTTCTGCTATCTAACCGTTGGCGAATTGCTAATTAATCTAATTAATCTAAAAAACTGATTGGCTTTTGAGGGGACTGTAGAAAATTTCCTTCCACAAACTTCCAGTTTGTTTATTTTTGGATCCAATCCTTTATCTAGATGTGTGTGCTTTGTTATGGCTGGTTCTTTGGGCATTGACAGTTCAGGGAGGTTCAGGGTTTTCAGTTGCAAAGCCCTGCTTGTCAGCATTTATTAAGGCAAACTGTAAATCCATGTCCATTTGGATGAAATGTGTGTCTTTGGCGTTTTGGAAGCAGAAAGGAGACAGAATAGTTCCTCCAAAGTTACCACAAGCAAAAAAACCCCATGTATTTCCCTTTAGCTTTTTAAAGAAATGTTCTAGTACTGCTGGAAAGATTGCTTCTGTCGACAGGTGTCTTTTGTACAGGTACTGTAATGAGCTGGGATTACAGGTAAGATCTCTCCCTTACAGAAGGTGCTTCTAATCTCAGCTCATTACATACAGTGAAGATACCAGGTAGCCTTGTATAGGGGATCAAATACTTATTTTACTCATTATAATGCACATCAATCTCTGACTTTTGTCTTCTGGGTTTCTGGGGGTTTTCCTGTTTTTGTTCTGTCTCTCACAGCTACAATAAACCTACCATTAAAATTATGGACTGCTCATTTCTTCGTCAGAGGGCAAATGGGCAAATTTAGCAGGGGATCAAATACTTTTTCCCTTCAAAGTAGGCATAGCTAGGCTTGTAAAAATTATGCATCTTCTTATCTGAGCCGAATAATGTTTACTCAAATATAAGTCTGAGCGGCTTCATTGGGATTTCCTTCCAAGGAAATGTATCTTGGATTGCGGTTTTTAAGGCATTAAAAATATTTTCAAAGTCATTTTGAAAAACACTTGCTGGAAATTCAGCTGATGGGAAGAGTTCTTCTTCAGTGGGTGTCAAAAAGCTTTAAAACTTTTACTGAAAATGTTCAGGGGGTGGGGAGCTTATAGCTAAGTAGACAGATCGGTAAGAAAGACTCACGTCTAAATAGAATAACAGCTTTTTCCAAGGAACAGCTAGCTATGTTGTTTAGTCGTTTAGTCGTGTCCGACTCTTCGTGACCCCATGGACCAGAGCACGCCAGGCACTCCTGTCTTCCACTGCCTCCCACAGTTTGGTCAGACTCATGCTGGTAGCTTCGAGAACACTGTCCAACCATCTCGTCCTCTGTCGTCCACTTCTCCTTGTGCCCTCCATCTTTCCCAACATCAGGGTCTTTTCCAGGGAGTCTTCCCTTCTCATGAGGTGGCCAAAGTATTGGAGCCTCAGCTTCACGATCTGTCCTTCCAGTGAGCACTCAGGGCTGATTTCCTTAAGAATGGATAGGTTTGATCTTCTTGCAGTCCATGGGACTCTCAAGAGTCTCCTCCAGCACCATAATTCAAAAGCATCAATTCTTTGGCGATCAGCCTTCTTTATGGTCCAGCTCTCACTTCCATACGTCACTACTGGGAAAACCATGGCTTTAACTATACAGACCTTTGTTGGCAAGGTGATGTCTCTGCTTTTTAAGATGCTGTCTAGGTTTGTCATTGCTTTTCTCCCAAGAAGCAGGCGTCTTTTAATTTCGTGACTGCTATCACCATCTGCAGTGATCACGGAGCCCAAGAAAGTAAAATCTCTCACTGCCTCCATTTCTTCCCCTTCTATTTGCGAGGAGATGATGGGCCCAGTGGCCTTGATCTTCATTTTTTTGATGTTGAGCTTCAGACCATATTTTGCGCTCTCCTCTTTCACCCTCATTTAAAGGTTCTTTAATTCCTCCTCGCTTTCTGCCATCAAGGTTGTGTCATCTGCATATCTGAAGTTGTTGATATTTCTTCCGGCAATCTTAATTCCGGTTTGGGATTCATCCAGCCCAGCCTTCCGCATAATGAATTCTGCATGTAAGTTAAATAAGCAGGGAGACAATATACAGCCTTGTCGTACTCCTTTCCCAATGCCTTGCCGTGGCGAAGGGGCTTGAATAACTTGGAGAAGCTATGAGCAGGGCCACCCAAGATGGACAGGTCTTGGTGGAGAGTTTTGACCAAACGTGATCCACCTGGAGCAGGAACTGGCAAGCCACTCCAGTATCCCTGCCAAGAAAACTCCATGGACAACAGCTAGCTAGATGTGATGAATTTAAAATTCACCATGCGTTTACATTTTCTCATGAGTGGCAGAACCCGGGTGCAGATGACTTTTACCCAGTAACAGCCTAAGGTGAGAACACCCCAAAATCATGCCACTAGGTGGTGATTAAATTTGTGGCAATCATTTGTGTTAACATTGACCGAAAGAATTAGTTGGTTACTTCAGACAGATCATTAGTTTCTTTCTCTCCCCCCCCTTTCTTTTTGTGTTCTTATGACATCCTGTCAAGTGTCATGTACATTGATGGCACTATATATTAAATAAAACATAATAATTATATTGTGACGTATTTTTTCCTCTCTCTGTCTGCAGGAGCTAGACCCATGCATTGGGTGTATGCAAACTACTGCAAATGTCAAGCTTCTGAAGAATTGTCAAGAGCTGAATGAAGGCGAGTGCCAACAATGCTACTGTCGTCCCATGTGGTGCCTGACTTGCATGGGCAAATGGTTTGCCAGCCGGCAAGACCAGCAGCACCCAGAAACCTGGCTTTCAAGCCGCGTGCCTTGCCCAACCTGCAGAGCCAAATTCTGCATTTTAGATGTTTGTGTTATACGATGAACAGGTCCCGGAACACTCCTTTAATCTGAATGTACTTCAAAGGTGGATGAATCCACCTGCTGTTTACCTTTTATTATTCTGTTCATGGGGACTTTCTGTTTGTTGTCTTTCTGATTATTTTTCTATTGGTTCAGTTTTTTAATTGCTGCAACCAAACAACGGAAAACGATTATTTTCACCAGCTTTGGCTACTCCCTTTGGTTACATTAAATACTGAGTGATAGTTTAGAATCGCATCAGACCTCTACTGAAGCAGAATTAGGGAGCCCTGTGGCCTTCAAAGCTGTCCTTTCCACTAGTGTAACAGGGAAGAGGCAATTTCCATTGATTACGCTGCCTCCTCCCATCTGCTTTGGAGGATTGGGAGAAACACAGAGGTGAGGGGGTGGGTTGCCAGAAATAGTTTCCCCACATAACCTAGCAGTGGAGGGAACAGTTCTGGCCACTATCTTCATGAGACCTGTTCAGGTTGAAAGACGTAGCACAAAATGGGGTGATCATAAATTTAACTAGTTTGAGCAATACAGCCAATCAGTTCCGCTCTTGGCTACATAGCGTATTAAAAGAAGAAGAGGGCGCTCATCTGCTCAGTAGTGGTTGGGGGCTTGCCTATTAAACAATACATAACCAGTCTCATCTGGGCTGGTGAACTGATCACAATTGTATTATGTCTGAAATCAGAATAAAAGTCGCAGTATAAAAGTACATGTGTTAAGGTTTCAGGAATCTAGTATTAGACGGATGCTTTCTCTCTTGAAACAAAAGTCTCAAATACTTGCCCTGTTATAGAACATCTGATTTTGCAAGAATAAATGTTCTAAGGGCTTTCCCCCTTTTAAATTCATTAAATAAGATGTATAAGTACCATAGTTGGCTGGGATTCTGGGAAATATGGGACAATTTCTGTTAGTCATGGAATATGTATCAGAAAATCTTTAGGTCAGAACTTTTTAATGCTTGTTGCTGCCCCAGCTTCTAAAGCTTGGGATTCAGATGAGACACCAAATAGACCAATTGTGCATGAGATACAAACTATTGTAAATAGATTAGTATCTTAAAATGCAATCATATTACTTTGTAAATCAATATTAATCTTTATGGGATCTCTGCACTTGCTTTTCCTTAATCTTCAGAGGCCTCCCATTATTAAATGAGAAGGATGACACTTCACTTACCCTTAATGTGTATGAAATTGAACTTCACTTATTTAAAATGCCTGCTGATTGGATTTCCCCTATCCCCCCTCCGTAACTTGTTTTCACATGTATGAGATATGTTCTTAACCTTACTAACCTTGAGGCTAGTCTAGCTGACATGCAGTTACTATTCTTCCTACTACTATGATGTGGGAAAATACAACAAGCCATAGTAAGTCTGTTTACATTCAATTCCAGGAAACAAGAACACTTGACCACTGTCTTATAAATTGAAACATAATTCTGATCTGTTGCTCTTATTAAGGCAGTGCCTTGTGGTCTCATTATACAAGGGGCAGGTTTCCCTGAGCATTTTGAACTCCAGTAGCACCCAGTTGGGACGTGGGTGGCTCTGTGGGTTAAACCACAGAGCCTAGGGCTTGCCAGTCAGAAGGTCAGCGGTTCGAATCCCCGCGACGGGGTGAGCTCCCGTTGCTCGGTCCCTGCTCCTGCCAACCTAGCAGTTCGAAAGCACGTCAAAGTGCAAGTAGAAAAATAGGTACCGCTCCAGCGGGAAGGTAAACGGCGTTTCCGTGCACTGCTCTGGTTCGCCAGAAGCGGCTTAGTCATGCTGTCCACATGACCCAGAAGCTGTACGCCGGCTCCCTCAGCCAATAAATTGAGATGAGCCCCGCAACCCCCAGAGTCGTCCGCGACTGGACCTAACGGTCAGGGGTCCTTTTACCTTTACTAGCACCCAGTTGCCATCTGGGTGTACACCATTAGGCTGGAGCTGCTATCTGCCTCTAATGCATTTGTACTATTCCAGCAGGAGCAGAGGGACAAGTCCCTATGGATTACCCCTGTGTATTGCCTCGGTAGACAAGGTCACAGTGGTTATCAGGGTTGTGAAAACATGGGTTGCATCTGCATTGCTATTTTGTTGGTCTATGCCCTGAATATTTCCTTTGATAGATGCCTCTGCCTAGGTGCCTTACAAGTACCTGTGCGTCTTGTAGAGCAACCCACTGGAGGGGAACCAGAAGCAGGCATTGATCTGCAGTTTCAACTCTTTTGTCTTCCACTCGCTTGGTAGTGATTTAAATTGGAGAATTATCCAGCTCTTGCTTGTGGGATCACCCTGCGTTTTTGCCGGAGGGTTGTTCAAAAATTGTTTTGTGTTCTGTTATTTTGCCATTGTACGCTATTTCCCCAGCTACCCCCATGGAAATTGGGCAAAGACTCCGCACTGTGAAGAGACATGCAATTCTAGTTCTCAACTGTTATGGGTAACTGCCATGGGGCAACTGCCTCTTTCCTCAGTATTGATCCTTCACTCTGGCAAGTAACTCAGGTTGTGATCTTTTAGTGGGTCTTTGAGGGTGCTCTGAAGGAGGATCCACTCTGAAGGATTGGCAGGGACACACTGTAAGCATTTCTCCAACATCTCTTTCTTGTATGAAATAAAAGATCATGTCCAGGGTCCTCTGTAATACTACCTTCTTTGTCCATCCCCACCCCCAGATGTATTGCAACCTTCCATGTTTTTTCACTTCCTTAGTATACATAAACTCATTTTTGTTGCTTCTGTATTTGCTTGTTATGGATAATTAGCAATGCACAAACCCTCCAGGCAGAAGAGAGTGTATGTGTGTGTGTGTCCCAGCTCCTGCCAACCTAGCAGTTCGAAAGCACATTAATGCAAGTAGATAAATAGGTACCGCTGCAGCGGGAAGGTAAACGGGGTTTCCGTGCACTCTGGTTTCCGTCATGGTGTGCCATTGCGCCAGAAGCTGTTTAGTCCTGCTGGCCACATGACCCAGAAAGCTGGGGACAAACGCTGGCTCCCTTGGTCTAAAAGTGAGATGAACGCCGCAACCACATTTTCCTTTGACTGGGCATAACCATCCAGGGGTCCTTTACACTGTCCGTGTGTGTGTGTGTGTGTGTGTGAGAGAGAGAGAGAGAGAGAGAGCACACCAGTGTTCTTCTGGATATTCAGGGTCCCTTAGTTTCACTGGTGTAATCAAAACAATTCTCTGGGCTTTCTGGGACTTAATGTTCTTTCTGGTTTAGATGAACCACTTAAGGATTGAAGAACTCCTCTTATCCCTTGCTTGCTGGGTGCCTTTTGACAATGCCACCAACTCTCATCTCCCTGGCGTTTCTGTGACTTGAGTCAGCTGCTCTGCAGTTACTCTCCTTGCCTGACTTGCCTGTACTGCTTATTGCCTCAATGTAAGGACATGATTTGGTAATCACATGGCTGTGGTCTCATGGAAACGAGGAAATTATCTCCGTGCCAGTAATATTGCCAGAATTGTACTATCCATGCACAAAGACAGTGCAGTCATCACTGGGGTGATCGTCAAGGATTGCAGGAGTACTTTTTTAAATAAATGGGAATTTTAAGGGGAGGGGAACAAAAAAAACCTCAATAAGGACTAAGTATGTGGTGACGCGGGTGGCGCTGTGGGTTAAAGCACAGAGCCTAGGACTTGCCGATCAGAAGGTCGGTGGTTCGAATCCCCGCGACGGGGTGAGCTCCCATTGCTCTGTCCCTGCTCCTGCCAACCTAGCAGTTTGAAAGCACCTCACCAAGTAGATAAATAGGTACTGCTCTGGCGGGAAGGTAAACGGCGTTTCCGTGCGCTGCTTTGGTTCGCCAGAAGCGGCTTAGTCATGCTGGCCACATGACCTGGAAGCTGTACGCCGGCTCCCTCGGCCAATAAAGCGAGATGAGCACCACAACCCCAGAGTTGGTCACGCCTGGACCTAACAGTCAGGGGTCCCTTTACCTTTACCTATGCTCAGTAGTAGGCACAGAATACTGACTTGGAGAAAACAAAGAAAACAGGCCAGGGGCCAGGACCAGATTTAGGTTTGATGAGGCCCTAAACTACTGAAGGGCCCTTTATATGTCAACAACAAATTGTGGCTGTTTTTTGTGTTGACTATATGCAATATGGTAACTTATGGACCTAATAGGTATCTAAAGCCATTTGCACATAACAAAAGATGGACATCATCGGAGCCTACCCAACACAAAACAAAACACTGTTGCTGTATGTTGGTTTTATTTTACAGTGGTACCTCGGGTTAAATACTCAATTCGTTCCGGAGGTCCGTACTTAACCTGAAACTGTTCTTAACCTGCAGCACCACTTTAGCTAATGGGGCCTCCCACTGCCGCCGCACCGCTGGAGCACGATTTCTGTTCTCATCCTGAAGCAAAGTTCTTAACCCGAGGTAATATTTCTGGGTTAGTGGAGTCTGTAACCTGAAGCGTATGTAACCTGAGGTACCACTGTATTTTATATTTTGGAAATGTACATCCAGGTTTTTTTCCCTTTAAATTTGGGGGGGGGCAAGAGAGTGGGGCCCTAAGCTATAGCTTTTTTAGCTTATACGTAAATCTAGCTCTATCAGGGGCATTGCCTCTTTTTGCCATTTGTCGTATGTCTGTGTATTTGCATTTCAGACCTTCCCGCCAACTGATCCCGCCGAGTGGGCGGAGCCTTTGAAAAGCGAGGCAAAACCGGCAGACAAAGGGAAGCGCGCGCTTCTGTGCGGGGCGGGGGCGGGGGAGGAGCAGGCAGCTCAGAAGAAGCTCCCATTGGCGAAGCCCTTGGGGGGACGTACCATCTTCATCGCTGGGGGGGTAACTAATCTATGAGGGGAGAGGGGGGGAATCGAGACTGCCGCTTTTGCCCCTCCCCCTTGCTAAACTGGGTTATACACACATCAAATACACGCATATCTCGCCAAAGCGGCTTGCTCTCCGCGAAGGCGAAACCGCGTGACAAGGACAACCCCCCCCCGCAGCGCGCCCCTAATGGTAGGAGCCGCCCAGCCGGTGTCCGCGCAGGCGCTCTCTGTCTCTAGAGGCTTGCTTGAGGGAGGGGAGCGCAGTCGTTTCTTGTTTGGCGGGAGGGAAGGAAGTCAGGAAGGCGGCGGCGGGAGCGAGGCGCTGAGGGAGAAAAGAGCGGCTATTTTCTGTTTTTATCCGGCTCAGCCATGTCGTCGCGTCAGCGGAGCCCGCTCGGTGGCCGCGCTCACAGTAGGTGCGTGTCCTCTGCCGCCTCCTGAGGGGAATTGGGGGTGGGGGTGGGGAGGGGTCTGGAGGCGACCCAGGCCCCGCTTTGTGTCGAGGGCCGCCTTCCGTGCCTCAGCCGGCGAGGCGAAGGGAGGGCGCCGTGAGGGGGCCGAGAGGGCCTTGAAACTCCTTCCCGCCGCAACCCCCCCATTCCCAAAATTTGCCTTTTATGGTTTCTGTGAAGTAGGTCAGCGAGAAGGAAGGAGACCCTGGTAAGGCAAATGAGGGAACCAAGAAGAAAGGAGAAATATTTGTTTGTTTATGCGAGTAACGTCCCCCTCCCCCAATTTCATAATTTTAAGTTATTTTTTTATTGATAATAGTTCAGCCATCGTTTATTATAATCGCTAAGATAATATAATAATAATTCATTATTTATACCCCGCCCATCTGGCTGAGTTTGCCCAGCCACTGTAGGTGGCTCCCAGTCAAGAGTTAAAAACAGTACAGCGTTAAATATTAAAAACTTCCCCGAATTTCTGTCTTATTTGCCGATGTTCTGAGAGTTCATTTTCTTGTGCGCTGTTGCAATAGGCCGTGGAACAACAGATCGACTGGACGCTTTGCGATTTCCGAAATAGAGGAAACTCTAAACTGGAGGGACTCTTTGAGAGAACAGCTCTGCTTATGAAACGGTCTTAATAAGGCCACCTTTCTCAACCTTGGGTCCTCGGATGTTGTTGGACTACAACTCCCATCATCTGTGACTGCTGGCTAGGGATGATGAGAGTTGTAGTCTAAGAACATCTGGGGACCCAAGGTTGAGATAGGCTGGTCTAGGGGGTACAGGAGAGACTCTTTGTGCTAACTGTTTGTCAATAAATATTCCACATCTAGGGTGCAGTTTTAAGATGTGCGGTTAAAACGCCAACATGCAGTACTTTGTTAAGTCATCTGAGGGCGGGGGTGTTGTTTTTTTAGATTATCCCCCCTTTTCTCTCTATCCACATAGTTAGTTGTAAAGTCCTCAGAGGGCATAAGAAGGACAATCCAATTAGGATTTAAATTTTGTATTTTTAAAATATATATATTAAATTTGTATACTGGCTATACCTGCACGTCTCAATGTGGTTCACAGGATAAAATCACAATATAAAAACACAAAATGCATAATCAAAATAAAAATGAGAATGGCAGCCCAATAACAACCCCACAACCCTCCCCAACAAGCATTTTCTAGCAACTTTATAGTCTACATATACAAAATTGTTTACAGTTTCACTTTCTGATTGCTTCCTCACAGACCACCAGCTCGTTGGACTCAAGGAAGGAAGCGTGGAGCAGATGGCAAACACAGAAGCACACATGATCCAAGCATGTCCAATTCTGATGATAAAAATACATGCAGTTTGTCAGACAGTAGGCCAGATAGGTATGTATATAAAGTATGCTGAACTTAAAGCACAATTAAAGTTAACTTTTAATGCATAGATGATATGCAGTAATTTTTGACAACTGATTATGCACTTGCAGCATACTAGGTGTATACTACACTTTTAGAGGACGTTAAATGCAAAAATTCAAATTGAATTGTTTAATTTGTGGGCCTACTGGTACAGGACACATTTTATTGTACTTTTAAAAATATTGTTTTAAAGCTTCAATTCTATATTTATTGGGATTTGGTTTATAGTTTCACAACACCAGAAGGCCATAAACCCCGTTCACGATGTTCAGACTGGGGAAGTGCAGTTGAAGAAGATGAAATGCGGACTAATGTTAATAAAGAAATGGCAAGGTATGACTGCATAATTCATTAAAAATATTTGTTGGGATGTAGAAATATTCAGTGGCTGCCTACTACTGATGAGATCAAAACCACCAGAGTGCCTATATTACGCAAATCCAATTGAAAAAAACGTAATAGGCTGTATGATAACAATTACAAAGTTATTTACTAGAAACTACTCAAAAATTAGATACAGCTTCTCATTGTGTCAAAATCAACATCGTGAAATAATATATTGAAATTATGTCATGATGTTGATTTTGACAGTATGAGAAGCTGCATCTAATTTTTGAGAAGTAGTTTCTAATAAATAACTTTGTAATTGTTATCATACAGCCTATTACATTTAGGTGTTTTAGTACTGATGAGATGGCCAAATTTTAACTGTCTTACTTGGATGCTGGAAGTAGATCTTATTCTGAATGTGGGCGCATTGTGATTTATTCCTCTGAGCAGTGAGTTGAGAATAATAATATTGAAAACTCCCATATACAGAAAAAGAGAACATTTTGGTCTTTTTCATTTGGCAACAAAAACAATTATTGATTATGTTATATTGTACAAAGTTATAATATAACTATAACTTTATTATTGTAAGTCTTTGAGAGACGATAATTGGTCTGTAAAGTGGGATAAAATATAGTAAAACAATTATGTAATGATAAAACTACCCATTTTGGATAAGTGTATTGGTATGCAAGCAGCCTGAGAAGCGACCTAGTAAGCTATGTTAGTTGATTGCTTTTTGTTCTTGTCTTAGATCTTCATGGGCATTGCAGCTAGGGAGGGGAGGGTTAATCTTCCCCAACCACAATATCCCTAAAGATACCTCTTCACCTGCACAGGAATTTATGCTTGCAAAATATCCACAACAGTTAAAAGGCTGTTTTCAATCCTAAATGGAGGTGGGGAAGGGGTTCTAGCTGTGCATGGGAAAGGAAGGGCCATGACTTTACAGCAGTAATATCTCCAGGCCTCCTGCACTGAAATGCTTGCTTTCTATTGCAAGACTGAGTGAATCTGTCTTCTTTGTTGAGGGATGCTTAACATTTGGGGAGTATAGCTCAAGTAGGGAAAATAAATTAGGAAATGATTATTATGGTCTGCTTGAATAAAACAATTAAAGCTATTTATTTATTGTAATTATGATTGAAGGATTTACATCTTGTTTTCTAATAATATTTTAAAGATATTAACGTTATGTGTAGTAATTTTCTTAATTAAGAAAAGGGGAATACTTTTTGAAGTCTAAATGATACAGAGGTGAGGGGGCTCCCAAGGATACACCTTGCATGTGGGCCAGTAATTTGCCACCTCTGAGCCACATGGTATCATTGTAATGTTAAAGTTGGTAAATCACTGTTATGAGTGGGATTGTTAAACTGGAAACAAATGCACCTACGCTGTTAAGTGCTTGGGAAAAGGATTCCGCTGTAGCTATTACAAGGGCAACATAGCTTAAAGCTGAATGTAGTAATGACGTCAGATGTAAAGGTTTTTGAGAGAAGCTTCCAGTTTCTTAACTTGGAGCAACTGTTCTGATTATGAAGAGATTGAATGGGTCCTACTCAACTGAGTATTTATTAAATAAGCCTCACTATCAGGTGACCAAGATTTAACGTTGGGTCCTACTCAACTGGGTCCTACTCAACTCATGGGTCCTACTCAACTGAGTATTTATTAAATAAGCCTCAATATCAGGTGACCAAGATTTAACGTTTCAGCAGTTAGCAGCCTTATGTAAAGGTCCTGCATCTTCATACTGTAATAGAGTGGCTATGATATTAAAATAGTGGAAATGTGTGCTAAAATAAAAGTACATTTTGTAGATACAAAAGAAAACTCTTGATAAATGAATATGGAAGAGAGAGGAAGCTGTCTTCTGGAAGGTAAGAGTCAAAAACTCATCTGTTGGGTGTGGTGAAATGCTTATTTTGAACTGTACTGTTTTTCTGGTTAGCTATGAAAAAGCTAGAGCTTTCCTGTTCTTTAATGTATCGTCTGTTTAGCCCTCATTATCAGTCCTTCACTAGTGAGTGCTTTTACTCTACCCTTCAGCATGCTTTGGAGGTGGCTTACAAAATAACAATATAAAATACACCCACATATCTAAAATCTTTCGTTCTAGAAGTTGCATAAATCTCAAACCAAATGTAACACAATTTTAGTTTTAAAAGCCTAGGGGAAAAAAAGGTATTTGCCTGGCACCAAAATGAGAACTTTCTCATTTTTAGGAAAGCCTCTCAGGACAGAGTATTGCAAAGCTAGGATACCATTACTGAGAGGTGATGACCCACTGCCCCAGATGGCAAAAGAATGACCTTTGCTTAAGATTTTACTGTACAGACATGCACATGTAAGATAGGTACCCCAGTCCTAAGCTGAGAAGCGCTTAAAAGCAAACACCTTGAACTGAGCCCAGGATATTGATTGGGGTCTAGTTAGAATTGGGAGCCACTGGTTTAGTATGATCATAACACATAGCCCCAGTAACCGTGTTTTGATCTAATTGGGGTTTACAAACACCTTCAAAGGCAGCCTTTGTGTAAAGTGCATTATAGTAGTCCAATCTAAAGGGTACCACCAGAGCATGCCAGTGTGATGTGGTTAAGAGCGGTGGACTCGTAATCTGGTGAACCAGGTTCGCTTCCCCGCTCCTCCACATGCTACTGCTGGGTGACCTTGGGCTAGTCACACTTCTCTGAAGTCTCTCAGCCTCACCTCACAGAGTGTTTGTTGAGGGGGAGGAAGGGAAAGGAGATTGTTAGCTGCTTTGAGACTCCTTAGGGTAGTGATAAAGCAGGATATCAAATCCAAACTCCTCCTCCTCCTCCTCCTCCTCCTCCTCCTCTTCTTCTTCTTCTTCTTCTTCTTCTTCTTCTTCTTCTTCTTCTATATAGCAGAGTGGGTGGAGGGTTTAGGAGGGCAGAAATGGTGTCCAGTACAAGCCCCAATAGTGCCAAAAGGTTCAAGGTTGGCTGAAACCCTGAAAAGGTGCCAAACTCCAGAAAAACTTGCTAAAATGTATAATAATAGATCATCTACATATTGAAGATGCAACAGAGAAATTGGGTCTTATTTGCATATGTGGTGGAAGTGTACAGACATCTGTGTATTTTGGAATAAAACATATGAAGAACTTAAAAAATTACTTAAATTTACGTTAAAAAAAGGCCAGAAATATTTCTATTAATCATATTGCCAGAAGAAATAGGGAAATCAAAAAGAACATTATTCATGTATGGGATAACAGCGGCCAGAATTTTAATAGCAAGAAATTGGAAAAATACAACAATACAACCTAACACGGCAGATTGGCAAATCCTAATGGTAGAATATCTGCAGCTAGCAAAGGTGACAGGAAGGATAAGATGCCAAACAAAACAAATAGCCTATAAGGATTGGAGAATATTTAAAGAATACTTTAAAAACTATGGTATAAAAGGAAACCTCTTGGCAGAATTAGACTGACCCTTGTATTGTATAAATATAAGTTAGTAGGGAGGTAAAAAGAAACTGTATAAGAAATATGTAACTGCAGTATAAGGTAACCAATAGATAAAGTACAGTGAGACTAACTGGAAGTCATTTTAAATTTTTCTCTTTACAAGTTTTATAATTGTTTTCATTATTGGAAGTATAAATGATGTTAGTCATATTAATTTTGCTGTTTCTTATATTGTTGTAGTTTGCTTCTATTTTCTATTGTTTGCCTGCTTGTTTGCTTGTACGTATGTATGTATGCTTATTCCCCCCCCTTCATAAATGTACTTATTTTAAAACAATAAATATAGATTCAAAGTAAAACCCTGAAAAGGAACACATCCATTTAACTACGGGGATACATTTCAGTACAGCATCCCACCACCATCTATGCGCAACCACATTTATGTTGGCCACTGCTAAATAAATAGTTTGGCCTCCCCTTGTTCAGGGCTTCTGCCTGAGTGAGGGATGGCTGCCTGCGATCAACCAGCAGTGCAGGGTGGGAGGTGCCTTCTCTCTGCTTCTCCTCCATTGCGTGCCTGCACCCCCCTCCTGGCACCAGTTCTGGTGGCGCCCTTCTTGCACTGGTTCCTTGCAGGCTGGGCAGCGACCCTGAGCAATTTCCAGGCTGAGTCTCTCCTCCCTGTGTGCCTTCCTTAAAAGTGGGGTGCTCCCCACTTTACGTAATTACACTTTATGAGTGTAGGGGCCTGGAACGTAACCCCTGTGTAACTCGGGGGACACCTATACCATATTGTGTTACAGTTTCGTTAGTATTTATATAGTGCTGTTAACCTGTCATGAAAAAGGTAGATTTAAAAAATTAAAATCAACATTATATTTTCAGTTCTGACTCCAAGGAGTCCACAGCAGCAGTGGAACTTGAGACGGATGAGGCTGTTCTGATGAGGAGACAGAAGCAAATAAATTATGGGAAGAACACACTGGCATATGACAGATATATTCGAGAAGTTCCAAAGTATGTTTTCTTGTTTACCAGGAACATTTGGGTTTTCTTTTATAACTTGCTACTGGTTTCATTGCAGACACTTATGGCAAGCATAAAGTATGGCTTGATTCTAATATACTGCCTTCATTAAAGAATATAGCTATTTTTCACCCATAGTCTTATTTTAGTTAAATTTTTGAATATGTTTTAGCATTTCTGTGATTACTCACTTGAACAGGTCAGTTGTCTTTTGAAGTATACAGGCAGATAATGTTCTAAATTGAAGCATTCAGATATGTGTTAAATTAAGCAACTGTTTTGCTAAATTGCTAAAGGCAATAGTAAGCAGAAAGAATGACACTAATGAAGTGAGATTTTGATTAATTAAAAATTACTGTAATTAATACTTGCTCTTGCATTTGGAATAAAAGCATGGCTTGGATTAAAATGCCATGTAAACAGTTTTTAATTTTTGTTCCAGGTGTCTACGAGTTCCAGGGGTTCATCCAAGGACTCCCAATAAATTTAAGAAATATAGCCGAAGATCCTGGGACCAACAAATCAGACTGTGGAAAGTTGCACTTCATTTTTGGGACCCTCCTGGTGAGAGAAGTTGTGACATGCAAGTAATGTAAGTACCAGGTATTTTTAGAGTGAACAGAACCTAATAACTTAAAAGAATGAGGGACTGTCTGTTTAGATCTTAAGAATTTCAGTTATAGTGATCTTCTCCTTAATATAGCTAGGTTTAAGAGAGTTATTCAGTTTAGACTTCGTTTTATAGCAAAGTTTAGCATATAATCTGTATAACGGGTGAGCTTAAGAATATTGATTTTCAATAGCATTTATACACATATAACTGTGTGACTCAGAACTAAGATTGCCTTAACTCCCAGAAGTATGTGAACTGTTAAAGGTTTTAAAAACCAGCATTGCCAAGCTTAAGTAGCTATCAAAATACAGCTATGGGGCCAGATGTATAAACTTGGAAACCATAGGCCTGGAATCTTGGTTCTGATCACTCATAGACATTGCTTGGGCAATATATAACTGTCAAAAATGAATAACTGATAATTGCTTTTCTCCCCTCATAGTAGTCCTGTTGATCTTGGTGACATGGAAACAGAATCTATAGGAAGCAATTCTGCTGGGTCACAAGGAAGCTCTCAGGATAATGATGTAAGTACTTTGAAGCCTGGAATAAATATTTTGTTAGTCCTGCTTCAGTATCCATTACTGTTAGGGTGCTAGATCACTGATTAACCCAATCTTGCAACAAAGTCTGAAAGGTACCAGCTGCTTGCCAAAAGCTAGTGGACTGCCAACAGGTGATGCACTGCTGGGTTTGTTGATGTTGAACTACCCAGTATCTGCTTATTTTTGTCTCCAAAACTACCTCATCAGGGTACATAGCACCTCTATTTTTTCCATAGGCATTGTAAAACTCTTCTTCCCTTGTGTTCTCCACCTTCCCATACCTCTTCGGTCCCTCTTTTCTCTGCCCACCAGGTACAGAATGTGTTTCCCCTTCCTTTAGTATGTTTGTGTATGCTTTTCCCACCACCTCACATACTTGCATTTGTCATTTCTCTCCTCCCACCCCGCCAACATTTTCTGCCTTTAGTATACAGCCCTTGCTTTGCTAGGTGATACATTTTCCTTAACCAGATTGACATATCTGACAAAAGTTGCATTATGAACATTTTTCAGAGTGACCTCCCACCATAAGTTAGAATAATTTTAACTATTATGGCATCGCAGCACTTCAGCAATTGTAGAGGAAGAGGTTTCACAAACAACAGGAAGTTGATGATCAGTTTTCCTTTTCCATTCCCACATAGCACGGACATTATTTTAAGTTGTTCTGTGGCTTCAGAGGAATAATTGAAGTGTCACATTACAGTATAGAACATAAAGGTTTACAGGGGAGAGAGGATGATTTGCACAGTCATAGGAAATTAACAAAAGGGGAAAAAGGATGATTTGCACAGTCATAGGAAATTTACAAAAGCTGAGATAAACAAAGGTTGTGGTTCAAAATCTTATTGCCATTGACTGCTGCTGTGATGTCATGAATGATGCAATATTACAATTGCTAAGATTTTCTTTACAAAAGACCTGGAGGTGTAGAGGTTGTGGCTTTTTGTGAAAAGTGCAGAGAAAAGAGAATAATTTCAGTAATTAAGTTATAAGTGAAGGTGTGATGCAATGATGGCATAAAAAATGAGGTTTGAGTGAGTGAGTAGTAGATAAAGGGTGAATGTTGGACAGGAAGGGAAAATGTCTTAAATTTTCACAGATCTGCCTTTTTCTTCCTGAGAAAAACCCTAATGGTGTGAGGGAGAGGTATTCAGAACTTGGGAAAAATTAAAGCCATCTAGTTGCCCTTATGTGCTATTGAATCCCCTTGGCAAGATACAATTCTTTACAGTGGTACCTCTGGTTACGAACTTAATACGTTCCGGAGGTCTGTTCTTAAGCCGAAACTGTTCTTAACATGAGGTGTGCTTTCGCTAATGGGGCTTCCTGCTGCTGTCGCACTGCTGGCGTGCGACTTCCGCTCACATCCTGGGGCAAAGTTTGCAACTAGGGGCATCTACTTCTGGGTTAGTGGAGCTCGTTACCCGAAGCATTTGTAAGGAGGACGGTATGTAACCCGAGGTTCCACTGTACTTTGGAAAAAATTTAACAGAGTGTGTTAAGAATGAATACCCAGGAGTGAGATTTTCCGTACCCCACTTAGAGACAATTGTAGCTAAGCAGTATATGAATTGTTCAAATAAATAAATAATAGTTTATCTATTTGTCTTGTTTGTTAATCGAGTTTTCCATTTGTTTTAGGAAAACTGTACAGGCACACCCACTAAAGTGAGAAGCATTGACCACCTGGTGGAAGATGAATTTGAGCTGGAGACATGTTAGGTTTTGACATACTTTATGACTGCAAAGCATGCATTCTACTGGCTGCTTTTTGAGAAAGGAATGTCCTACTCAGAAGACACATACACCTGAAACTGTCTTATCTAACAGTCTGGAGAACTGGAGTATGGCAGCTGTGAAATTGCAATCAATGTTTTCGCCTGACTACTTTTTTTTATACAAAGCATAAAACTTGAGTTATATGTAATTGAGTGATTGCCTAATTTTATGTATACTCAGGAGGTAGCTTTATAAACAGTTTAATTATAGTTCAGAAGATAAACCAGCCCAGACAATGTTGACACACTTGAAGAGCTTGAACACTTGACACATTAGAAGAACTTCAGCATCGGTGCTGAGCTATTGGCTCTTGTCCATAGACAAAGAATAAGATAGGCAGCAAGTAGTAGTTCTCCAGTCTGTCCTATAATTCATATTGCAAAGGACCACTTATTGATAGCACAAGGCGGTGGCATTTTATGCCTCTCAAACCTTTGTGTCCTTCAGATATTGACAACATGTGTGCAATAACAAGGTAATGAGTGTGAACAGGCTCTTTATGACAAAAGGCTTTGACCCAGTTTCCAGGTCCACCTTATGGTGTCAGCTCTCAAGTTTATTCTGAATTGATGCTTGTAAATAGTTGTGTGCAGAACTTCACTAACTTTTAAAGAAGAATTAATGAACAGAACTTTGGAGACTGTTGACTTATTTTTTTCATAATGTAAAGCTATAGACTTTTTACTAAAACAGTTGCTGTTTTGTATGGGATAAGGTATAAATAAAGCAAGTACATCTTTATGCGTATGGTGCAAACACTGTCATGAAAACATTCTACAAATAAGATGCAAAGAGATGAAAGATCAAATTCTGAGGCTACTTTAATCAGTGCTGTCATTCCACCTGGAAACTGATGATCACAGTGCCAGCATGTTAGGTAGATTTAGTGCTTTATTGTTCGGCGCCCAGCCACGCTTCCCCTGCGAGCCCCTGTGGCTTCTGTTTACGCAGGGTGGCTTTGTAGCGGTCGTAAAGCAATTAGCAGAATTACGCATCGGTGTGTGTTGAAAGAGCAGTAATCAAGTCCCACACGTTTTTTCTGTCCTAATATCCCTTTATTTGCTCAAAAGTAGCATATTTACAATTAATAACACCATCAGATTCAAGCTGCATTTTCTCTGCGTGCTTCTCTCAGTTTGCAGCTGCGCAACAAAACCGCTTTCACTTTTCACTCGGCTCACAGCATTCCAAGCTGCTTTCGTCATGTCCTGGCGTACTTCCCCTGTACGCGCCTCCTCTCAGCCCCGAGACACAGAAGGTTAACCCTTCACTACACCCAACACCCCCTCTTGTCTCACGCCTGACAAATCTGTGTACACACAAATCTGCATGAATTAATTCAAAGGGTTGTGTGGTCTGCCTCTCTGACTTTGGATATGAGCATCTCACAATTTTCGCCTGTTTACATGCATTGCAATCTAAAAATTTGTCACAAACATTAAATTTGCACCCTTGTGTCAGCTCTGGTGCTTTCTGGAGATCTCTCCAATTCAAATGGGCGAAGCGTCGGTGCCAAATATGTGAGCAACCATGGTGGGGCACTACATTCACACATTGGCCCTTCGCATCTTCGGTGTCATCCTCTCCTATGGAAAAAGGCACATTTACAGCAAACAAATTATCTTCAGACTGCACTGTGTACACGTGTTTCCCATCCTTGGAGAATTCACATTTGTCACCTGCAAAAGAGATATGAAAACCATCAATAAGTAGATCATGCACACTTAACAGTTAAACCGGGCACTGCATAAGCTTTGACTTCATGCTTAAGGAAAGGACAGAAGAAAAGGCCTGTCTCTGTTGTCTTTTTCTGCTTCCATCTGCAATCGTCACAAATTTCTCAGTTTTTACTGTCCTGCAATTCCTCAAAAGACCAGGAGATGGCACCAACGAGTTTGAGGCACCACTGTCGATTATTACAGTGAGAAAGTTTTGTTGTTGACATGCCTGGGTCACCATGGCAACAATCTCCTCGCTACCCCCCTCCTTGGGGCTTCTGCAGATGTCCTCTCTGGTTGTCACGGCAACAGACTCCCCCCGGCAGGAAGACTTGCCCACGACCTTCACAGCTTCCGTAGATGCAACTCTCTCAGTTGCCATGGAGACTGGACTTGTCTCGGCGTTCCCACACAACTCTGAAGCTCTTATCTCTACTTGCTGCAGGTGGCTAGCCTTGAAGCCTCCAGCTCTGTTCAGCTTCCCAGGCTCCGACTCACGATGTAAACAACTCTTGGCAGCTTTTGGAGAAAGAGGCGTCTCTGAGCTTTCACTGCTCACTGCCCCCCCCACTGCTCACGGGGCTTCTAGGACGTTTTCCTGCACCCCCTTTGATTGGTAAAGGGCTCACAACACTTGGCCTCTCTCCAGGTTCCTCACACAGACACGTTGCAGCATCCACACAGCTCCCAGGCTCAGCAAAAGCACCAGCAGCATTGCTAGCAACAGCAACAGTCTCTTCGCCCCCCTGTGGGGGCTCCCAGCTCCTCCCAGCTGTGTATCGGCTCTCAAAAATGTGGCCGGCACCATCTTGCCTCTCCCTTTCGGATGGAGCCACTTCTCGGCCCTTGCTTCCCACCCCAGCTCCACAAGCTTCTTGGAGTGCTAGCCAAGCGGCCTCTGGCCTTCTTGCACCCAGGACAACTGGCACCAGTTGAGCATCCACACTTTCTGCCAAAAAAGCAAGCACACGCTTCTCAACTTCACTTTGCTCTGCAGCCCTCTTAGCCTCTGCTTTCCCAGCTGCATTCTGTGGGGGCTGGACTACGTCCCAAAGCTGCTCCCCCACCAGCAAAAGCTCTGCTTGAAAGCTCCACTGGAGCCAACTTTGGCTAGTCAGTTTCTAACATGGCAGTTTAAACTCAAAGCCATGTTCACGGGGCTGAGCCATTGCCTCCCTTCTGTTGGCTTTTCCAAAAGCAGCCGATAATACTCACTCTGCAGCCAAACCGGGCTCTCAGCTCCCTCTCCGTCAGCCTCCTCCGATCTGCCCTTTGAAGTCTTGGCAGTCGATCAAACTGACGTTCAGCAAATAAAGCTTCAAAGCCCTTTCTCACACGCTTCACGTTGACCCATAACCTTTGTTAGGTAGATTTATTGCTTTATTGTTCGGCGCCCAGCCATGCTTCCCCTGCGAGCCTCTGTAGCTTCTGTTTACGCAGGGTGGCTTTGTAGCAGTTGTAAAGCAATTAGCAGAATTACGCATCGGCGTGTGTCGAAAGAGCAGTAATCAAGTCCCACACGTTTCTTCTGTCCTAATATCCCTTTATTTGCTCAAAAGTAGCATATTTACAATTAATAACACCATCAGATTCAAGCTGCATTTTCTCTGCGTGCTTCTCTCTGTTTGCAGCTGCGCAACAAAACCGCTTTCACTTTTCACTCAGCTCACAGCATTCCAAGCTGTTTTCGTCACGTCCTGGCGTACATCCCCTGTACGCGCCTCCTCTCAGCCCCGAGACACAGAAGGTTAACCCTTCACTACACCCAACACAGCAGTGTGCACAAAGTACCACCACTCAGAATCAAACCAAAAATCCATGTATGGTTGGAAGTAAATCCTACGGAATTCAGTAGCCTTCATATCTAACTTGTTACGATTGCAGCTCAAGGTTGAGGTCCTTAGCATACAACTGAGATTTATGGGACATAATGGTATTAAAGAGTGATAAAGTATTGGGAACATTCTACTGTTGGAAGATGATGTAGAATTGGTGAGTTCGGCACCATTTTTGAGTGAATTGCAGAAGGTCAGATTTTTGCTGAAATTGTGACCGCGCGGCTTAGGGATTTTATCAAAAAAATGTTGTTCAGAATTCAAGGGCTAATTCTATTTCCGATGATAAAAACCCATCTGTTTCCACCAAAAAACATTTCAGGGGATCGTTTGCAACAGTTTGGCACCATTTTTGAGTGAATTGCAGAACGTCAGATTTTTACTGAAATTGTGACCGCGCGGCTTAGCGATTATTTTTTTTAAAGTTGTTCCGCAAGTTCAGACATCAAGGGCTAATTCTGTTTCCGATGATAAGAACCCATCTGTTTCCACCAAAAAACCTTTCAAGGGATCGTTTGCAACACTTTGGCACCATTTTTGAGTGAATTGCAGAACGTCAGATTTTTGCTGAAATTCTGACCGCGTGGCTTAGGGATTTTTACCAAAAAAAAGGTGTTCAGATGTCGAGGGCTAATTCTGTTTCCGATGATAAAAACCCATCTGTTTCCACGGAAAAGCTTTCAAGGGATCGTTTGCAAAAGTTTGGCACGATTTTTGAGTGAATTGCAGAACGTCAGATTTTTGCTGAAACTGTGACCGCGCGGCTTAGGGATTTTTTTTTTAAAAAGTTGTTCCGCAAGTTCAGACATCAAGGGCTAATTCTGTTTCCGATGATAAAAACCCATCTGTTTCCACCGAAAAACCGTTCAGGAGATCGTTTGCAACAGTTTGGCTCTATTTTTGAGTGAATTGCAGAACGTCAGATTTTTGCTGAAATTGTGACCGCGCGGCTTAGGGATTTTTTCAAAAAAGAAGTTCTTCAGACGTCGAGGGCTAATTCTGTTTCTGATGATAAAAACCCATCTGTTTCCACCGGAAAAGCTTTCAAGGGATCGTTTGCAACCGTTTGGCACCATTTTTGAGTGAATTGCCGAAAGTCAGATTTTTGATGAAATTGTGACCCCGGGGCTTAGGGATTTTTTCAAAAAAATCTTTTTCTGACGGTTAAGTTGTCCAGGGCTGATTTCTTGTCCTGTGATAAAAATCCTTCTGTTTCGACCGCCAAACCTTTCAGGGGAGCATTTGCAACCGTTAGGCACCATTTTTGAGTGAATTGCCGAAAGTCAGATTTTTTCAGAAATTGTGACCCCGGGGCTTAGGGATTTTTTCAAAAAAATCTTTTTCTGCCGGTTAAGTTGTCGAAGGCTGATTTCTTGTTCTGTGATAAAAAGCCTTCTGTTTCAACCGCCAAAACTTTCAGGGGCGCTTTTGCAACCGCTTGGCACCATTTTTGAGTGAATTGGAGAACGCCAGATTTTTTATGAAATAGTGACCCCGGGGCTTAGGGATTTTTTCAAAAAAATCTTTTTCTGCCGGTTAAGTTGTCGAGGGCTGATTTCCTGTCCTGTGATAAAAATCCTTCGGTTTCGACCCCCAAACCTTTCAGGGGAGCATTTGCAACCGTTTGGCACCATTTTTGAGTGAACTGGAGAACGCTTGATTTTTGATGAAATTATGACCCCGGGGCTTAGGGATTTTTTCAAAAAAATCATTTTCTGCCGGTGAAGTTGTTGAGGGCTGATTTCTTGTTCTGTGATAAAGAGCCTTCTCTTTCGACCGCCAAACCTTTCAGGGGAGAATTTGCATCCGTTTGGCACCATTTTTGAGTGAATTGCCGAACGTCAGATTTTTTCAGAAATTGTGACCCCGGGGCTTAGGGATTTTTTCAAAAAACTCTTTTTCTGCCGGTGAAGTTGTCCAGGGCTGATTTCTTGTCCTGTGTTATAAATCCTTCTGATTCGACCGCCAAACCTATCAGGGGAGCATTAGCAACCGTTTGCTACCATTTTTGAGTGAATTGGAGAACGCCAGATTTTTGAAGAAATTGTGACCCCGGGGCTTAGGGATTTTTTCAAAAAATTATTTTTGTGCCGGTTAAGTTGTCGAGGCCTGATTTCTTTTCCTGTGTTAAAAATCCTTCTGTTTCGACCGCCAAACTTATCAGGGGATCATTAGCAACCGTTTGGCAC